AGTGATGGAATTACTGTTAGTGGCAGTGTTGGTATTACTGTTAGTGGCAGTGATGGTATTACTGTTAGTGGCGAGTGTTGGTATTACTGTTAGTGGCAGTGATGGTATTACTTTTTAGTGGCAGTGTTGGTATTACTGTTAGTGGCAGTGATGGTATTACTGTTAGTGGCAGTGTTGGTATTACTATTAGTGGTATTTTTAGTAGTATTGTTGTAAGTACTGTTAGTAGTATTGTCAGTGGTATCGCCAGTGGTATCGAGTATAGTTACTACTACAGTTATTAGTCTAGTTGGTAGTACAGTTGGCAGTATAGTTAGTAGTGTAGTTAACAGTATAGTTAGTAGTCTAGTTAGTAGCATAGTTAGCAGTATAGCTATAGTTAGTAGTTAGCAGTATAGTTAGCAGTATAGTTAGTAGTATAATTAGTAGTATAATTAGTAGTATAATTAGCAGTATAGTTAGTAGTATAATTAGCAGTATAGTTAGTAGTATAATTAGCAGTATAGTTAGTAGTATAATTAGCAGTATAGTTAGTAGTATAATTAGCAGTATAGTTAGTAGTAATGTTAGTAGCATTGTTAACAGTATAGTTAGTAGTATTGTTAGTAGTATTGTTAGTAGTACTGTTAGTAGTATTGTTAGTAGTACTGTTAGTAGTATTGTTAGTAGTACTGTTAGTAGTATTGTTAGCAGTACTGTTAGTAGTATTGTTAGCAGTATAGTTAACAGTGTAGTTAGCAGTATAGTTAGCAGTATAGTTAGTATGGTTAGCAGTATAGTTAGTGGTATTGTTAGCAGTATAGTTAGTGGTATTGTTAGCAGTATAGTTAGCAGTATAGTTAGCAGTGTAGTTAGCAGTGTAGTTAGCAGTACAGTTAGCAGTACAGTTAGCAGTACAGTTAGCAGTACAGTTAGTGTAGTTAGCAGTGTAGTTAGTATAGTTAGCAGTATAGTTAGTAGTATTGTTAGCAGTATAGTTAGTGGTATTGTTAGCAGTATAGTTAGTGGTATTGTTAGCAGTATAGTTAGCAGTATAGTTAGCAGTATAGTTAGCAGTGTAGTTAGCAGTGTAGTTAGCAGCATTGTTAGCAGCATTGTTAGCAGTGTAGTTAGCAGTATAGTTAGCAGTATAGTTAGCAGTGTAGTTAGCAGTATAGTTAGCAGTGTAGTTAGCAGTATAGTTAGTAGTATGGTTAGCAGTATGGTTAGTGGTATTGTTAGCAGTATAGTTAGCAGTATGGTTAGCAGTATGGTTAGCAGTATGGTTAGCAGTATGGTTAGCAGTATAGTTAGCAGTATAGTTAGCAGTGTAGTTAGCAGTGTAGTTAGCAGTATAGTTAGCAGTATGGTTAGCAGTATGGTTAGCAGTATAGTTAGTAGTATGGTTAGCAGTATAGTTAGAGGTATTGTTAGCAGTATGGTTAGCAGTATGGTTAGCAGTATGGTTAGCAGTATAGTTAGCAGTATAGTTAGCAGTATAGCAGTATAGTTGGTGGTATTGCTGTTAGTATATTGTTATTATTTTGAGTAGCGGTAGTGGCAGCGGCAGTTCAGAAGCGGCCACAGTTGGTGCACTTCACCGCTATATCAAACAGCACTTACTATGTCATACATCACTGCTTACCTGCTGGCTTACCACTTCCTCCTCTCCCCTCCACCACCACCCCAGACTTCCCTCCAAGTTTCCCTCATCTATCCCCTCCCGCTCCCCTACCCACCCACCCACCCATCCCTCAACTCTCCTCAGCCCTGCTCTCGTGTTTTAGTGGGCTTCTGAATTCTCCTCACTGACCTTAGTTTGGTACCTCCCCATATACGTACCTACCCACCACTTACCTTACTTTTAGCTCCACTTCCTTCATCTTCGCTAACCAACCAATCTAACATCCATTAATTTCACCCTTCCCTCTTAATGGAAACAAGACACTGGACTTTTGGGCTATCCTAGGTAATCTATACATACTCTATGTACGATAATTTATGTAACTGTATTGTGTACTTGTACCTAAATAAACTTACTTCTTTTTCACCTCTCCACCTTCCTTCAACCATCTCTATACTACATCTCCCAAATCTCTCCCTGCCTTATCCTACAATTTCTTACCCCCGCTCGATATTTCCCACAATATCACTCACATGCCTCCCCACCACTACACGACCTTCCCTCTACCTCAGCCCTGCTTACGCCGGGTCACCATCTGGAAAAGACCCAAGCCGGCACAAGACCGGGGAACCTACTACAGCCCTGCCTACCTCGCAGCAGCTTCCTTACACAAGACTGCGGGAGATGCGAGAGTAACATTCTATCATCCTACACCATGTCATTATACTCTGGCCTATCTATTTTCAACCTTCTCACACACCAATTCTACATTATAAATGTGTTTGTGCAGAACACTCCACACGGGGATGAAACTTTAGCTCAAGATCTTCACATACTCGTACACCGTCAGAGTTCTGCAGTGTTTCAAGTTTAGCAACAGACAGGAGGGAAAAATTCTCTCGGAGGAAAGCTAGAATCGTGCCAGAGTCGACCCATACCATTGTAGAGTCGCCTGCTGGTCATCCACATTTCCCCTTCCCTCACCCCACATTAGGGGTAAGGGGAGGGGGGGAAGAAGGAAAAATTAACCAAAATCTTGATTTTTTAAATTATTTGTTATTACAGAGAATAACAGATTTTTAACAAAAAATATGTTACTTTTAGTGTCACTCTTTCAACTAAATTTTTGGTGTAAGACAGACAGACAGAGACACACACATACACACGGGGCCAGAAGCTATGACTCGACCCCTGCAACCACAATTAAGCGAGTACACACACATGCACATGTCAGGAAGTGGAATAGTTTGGGAAGCGATGTAGTGGAGGCAGGATCCATACATAGCTTTAAGCAGAGGTATGATAAAGCTCAAGGTTCAGGGAGAGTGACCTAGTAGCGACCAGTAAAGAGGCGGGGCCAGGAGCTTGGAATCGACCCCTGCAACCTCAACTAGGTGAGCACATGCACGCGCACACACACACACACACAGAGGAGGGTCAGGGGAGACATGATAACGACATACAAAATACTGTGTGGAATAGATAAGGTGGACAGAGACAGGATGTTCCAGAGAGGGGACACAGAAACAAGGGGTCACAATTGGAAGCTGAAGACTCAGACAAGTCACAGGGATGTTAGAAAGTATTTCTTCAGTCATAAAGTCGTCAGGAAGTGGAATAGCCTAGCAAGTGATGTAGTGGAGGCAGGAACCATACATAGCTTTAAGATGAGGTATGACAAAGCTCAGGAAGCAGAGAGAGAACCTAGTAGTGATCAGTGAAGAGGCAGGACCAGGAGCTGATTCTCGACCCCTGCAACCACAATTAGGTGAGTATTCACACACACACACACACACACACACACATGCACAACACACACACAGCACAGCACACAACACACCACACACCACACACACACTTCACACACTCTACACATCACTCTCACACACTCACACTTCACACTCACACTCTCACACTCTCACACTCACTCTCACACTCACACTCTACACTCACACTCTCACACTCTCACACTCACACTCACACTCTCACACTCACACTCTCACTTCACACTTCACTTCACCACTCTCACTTCTCACACTTCACTCTCACACTCTCACTCTCACACTTCACTCTCACACTCTCACTCATACACTCTCACTCTCACACTCTCACTCTCACACTCTCACTCTCACACTCTCACTCTCACACTCTCACTCTCACACTCTCACTCTCACACTCTCACTCTCACACTCTCACTCTCACACTCTCACTCTCACACTCTCACTCTCACACTCACACACTCACTCTCACACTCACACACTCACTCTCACACACTCACACTCTCACACACTCACACTCTCACACACTCACACTCACACACACACTCACACACTCACACACTCTCTCACTCTTCTCTGGGTTTTCTTCTATTTTCTTATTAGTTCTTGTCATTATTTCCTCTAACTTCATGGGGAAGTGGAACAGAATTCTTCCTCCATAAGCCATGCGTGTCATAAGAGGTGACTAACATGCCGAGAGCAAGGGGCTAGAAACCACTTCTCTGGTATACATTACCAAAGTTAAAAAGTGAAACTTTCGTTTTTCTTTTTGGGTCACCCTGCTTCGATGCAATATGACTGGTTTGATGAAAGAAAGATGATGATTTATAAGTATTGTTAATAGGTCGTTATGGCTTGTGCACGTGCATGCACCCCTCCCTCCATCCCCAGAGTCAAGAGTAAGGACGTCGTGAGACAGATGCTGCCGGAGTCATATTAATCTCAACCAATAAACATAAGTTTCAGCCAGTCTTTCACTAATGGTTCTAATATACTTCAACATACCCAGCTACTAAAGAGTTCAACAAACTATGGGAGCAACACAAATACTTGCAGAGAAAAACAATATATCTGCAGTGAAACCTCTCATAATGTTTCGTCCAGGACTGGATGAAGGTTTTCTCAGCAAACACTGTCCTTCTCACTACCTGTTGGCTTATGCCACTGATTTATCAACAAATATAGGACCTCACATAGACAGCACCTATTTTCAGTGTTCTACGTTTCTGTTGGCTTTCGACTGAGCCATTGTGCCATCCTCCGGTGACAATCACCAATGGGTGGAACATAATGAACGACGACTTAGTTTAAAGGCAACGAAAATGTGGAACACCGAAAAGGTGCTGCTGTACATGCAGGGCTCTCCTGAACTTGGAAATTAATATGGAACAATGAACAATGGATACCCAATCTCTCTCCATTCACCAAATATCTGAATTTCAATAGGTTAACTAAAATTAATATAGCAATCTAAGATATTATTGTTTCAGTGTACTGAAAGCAAAACTAAGTATTCATTAATTTGATCATTATCCTAATCATTGTTTAATATTTCATATAAATTTCCAAAGACACCAATGAATATTGCAACAGCAGTAGTGCGTAAAGTTAACACTCACTCATAAACTCCTGAACTTGGTTGTTCTGTGGCTCAGAGTCAGCAATGGATTTTCGCAGACGGTTGAGGTCATCCTTCAGTTTGGCATTCTCCATCTCCAATTCCTGCAGCTGAGAGAAAATAAACCAAAGGAAAGCTGAATATAGGAAAGAATAATTATATTAATGAATAAAGGTTACTCTGACACATGCAAAAATGATGATAGAGACTAAAATAAATACTGAATACTTTAGCAAAGGAAGAAGCTTAATGTATAAAGCTGAAAAAAATTACACATTTGAGCAAACAGCCAAGAGTGTCTTGAGAAATACAAAAGACTATATATACTGTATATTCCTACCTTAAGTAAGTAGACAATCACAGCTACAATATAATTACTGCTGTCATATTACATTCTTGTTTGATAACACTTCTATAAACAAAATATTTGAGTTAAGAGTTTCTTTTACAGTTTTTGCCAAATATCATTTATTAGGTAGTCTAACTGTTTTGACACAGTCCTGTAACCACAATGTCAGTTAGGAAGTACTGATTAACACAGTCTTGAGTTTGGTATTACCTTTTAGAAACAGAAAGGCACTGCTCCTGCTACCTCCAAGACGAAAGTCTGGCTAACTAGTTTCCCTGAATCCTCCCATAATTATTATCTTACTAACATTCCATCAGCACTTCCATTAAAAACCACTTGTCTCAATTCATTCCAATCAAACACATTCATAAATGCCTGTTGGATGCTCATATATTTTTTCTTCCCTACCATGCCATGCACTTTACCTAACAATTCCATCAATGATTCCTCTTCCCACCTGCACTCATTCTCTTACACCCAGAGCAAGTGTAAAACAGAAACCTGTAATTGTTATACATGATGGTACAAATGCTGGTGTCTTTTTTTTTTTCTGTCTCATAAATGCGCAAGATTTCAGGTACATCTTGTTACTTCTACTTACACTTAGCTCACACTTCACATGCATGTACAAGCATATATATACACACCCCTCTGGGTTTTCTTTTATTTTCTTACTAGTTCCTGTTCTTGTTTATTTCCTCTCATCTCCAAAGAGAAGTGAAACAGAATTCTTCCTCCATAAGCCATGCATGTTGTAAGCAGTGACTAACATGCCAGAAGCAAAGGGCTAGTAACCCCTCTTACTAGCCCTTTGCTTCTGGCATGTATACATTACTAAAGTTATAGAGAGAAACTTTTCTTTTTCTTTTTGGGCCACCCTGCCTCAGTGGGATATGGACAGTGCATAGAAAGAAGTATCATCATCATATCAAACCCCACCCCACCCACACCCACCCACCCACACTCACCCACCCACCCACCCACACACACACACACACACACACACACACACACACACACACACACACACACACACACACAATACACACACTATTTCTTTGTACAAGCCATTAGTGTCATGTAAGAACAGTATGGTAGGAGGTGCTGAGTGGCAGTGTATGCTAAAGTGTGAAATACATAATGAAAACATGAAAAACAAAATATTCATGAAGTAAGATTAAGTAAATATAAATGAACATTATTGTATAGCTTCTCTTTCATGCTCAATGCTGCATTACTGTATCATAAACAAATGTAAGCTAAGGGATACATTTTTACAGGTCTTGTTCCCTCTATGCAAATTTGCTTTAAGGAACTCACTATTATGAGATATCCCATTTCTTTTGGTAATTTCATATATATGATCTGTGCCCACTTATGTGATTCACATGGTTCACAAAGCACACTGAAAATTCTTATTCCATGCAATTATACGTTTAAGACCTGAATGAGCTTACCGTAGATGCCAAGGGTATGGAACACATCTACAGCATAAAATAAGAGAAACCTGTATACAGATATACAGTACCACAGTAAATGACACTTTTCACTTGGCTAAAAGTAACTGCTGCATAACTAGCTAGGAAAGAGAAACATTACTAATTTGGCATGCCTTATGCTACCAGTACTTGCGTTAGCTGTGGCACAAAGCATACCCGAATAAGTTCCTGTGCATGCTGTGGGTCATCCATGGGTGATGCTGATTCCAGCTGATCTACCTGTTTGGCCAGACTCCTCCGTTCCTTTTCTAACTCGCGCACTTTGTTCTGCAGTTGCAGTACTAAGGTGATGTCCTCCATCTATTAGCATCCCGGATGAACATAGCATCAGAGAGAGGAGTCACCAAGCAGCAAGGGGTAGTAGGAAGTTAGTGAGATTCACTACATGCTAAGGACAAACCACATCCTTAAGTGAAGTACCAGACCAAGCAACCCCAGGCAAAAATATTAGCTGCATATCTCCAAGGTTTCCAAACTTCTCTATTATACCCATTATACATTTTGTGTAAATTCACCAGAGTATTTATTACACAAAGAATTACTATTTTTACTGGGAGCTTTCTACTACTGAATATTATGTATACAGAAGTTTTATTTCAAACTTATTATAAGATAAAATATAAATTTGTTTGAAGAAATGAAGCAAGCTATCAGATAGCTTATAACTAGTGAAACAGATGAATGGAAGTGACAGGAAATAAAAGATTAGAGATAATCAGTGAACACTATAATGGAGTGTCATAATCATCCTTCAAGAAAGTACTGTGCATGCTAATAATGAAAATTGCTGCAGCTACATTCTTAACTCAAAAGGTTTTCAAAAAGTAAAGTCATCCAACATAAGCTACATACAAGAGCAATTTATTCTCATTATCTTATTAAAAGATATTATGTAAGAATTACTACTGGCTGGCACTAGCAACTTATAATTTTAGCCTCAACAAGTAATATTTTAAACTATGTAATACAAATAAAATCTGATATACTGTACATTATACAAAATTAAAAATGTAGTTATACATTTTGGAAAAGTTTGGAAACCAGTGTCTAATGTATATTCATGCACATATGTACCGTACAGTAAATAAGCTTTTGTATTATTATTATTAATACTATTACTATTTAAGGGAAGTGCTAAACCCATACGTGATTTTGTAACAAAACCACTGAAGGAAAAATTGACTCTTACAAGTGGCATATGATTAACACATGTAAGTGGCGCAAGATTAATTGTTGTCAGTGGCATGAGATTACTTACTTTCTTCGGTTATTACAAAATAAATTACTTGCCTTGTGAATCAAAATAAAAAAAATCCATATTATGTATTACGTATATTTCAAATGATGATATAAATAATACTATTCAAGAAACTAATCACTACACTAATTCTATGAACAACTTTCAATAAAGTATACTGTATATATTCAAGTACATAAAATAATTCTGGTGTAATCCTAAAACTGCTGAAAGGATGTTAATATTTATAATAGTGTGAGACCAATGCCGATTTCTCTGGATATATTACAGCAAGACTAATAATATTTGTACCTGTTTCAGTGTGAGACCATCACAGGTTCCTCTGTATATATTCCAGCAAGACTAATAATATTTGTATCTGCTTTAACCCTTAAACTGTCCAAACGTAGATCTACGTTCACTCATGTAGAGCTCCGAACGTAGATCTACGTTCGATTTTATATGCTTTATGTAAAAAAATGTAGATATACGTTTGGAGCGCTACGCGACTGAATGTAGATCTACGTTCGGACAGTTTAAAGGTTATTGAGACCATCACAGGTTCCTCTGGACTCTGGATATAGTGCCATCAAAGTACTCTGCAAGGGTCTACATCATTTACTTCACATTAGCCATAATTTCAATCTGGCAGCTTCTCTTTTTGAAGAGGGGAAATAATGAATATGAAAGAAGGGGAAAGGAGAAGGGGGTGATGAAGATTAGAAGTTAAAAAAATGAGAAAGATAAGTAGAAGAGAAGGATAATAGGAGAAAAGGATAAGAAGAGTAAGGAGGGAGGAAGAAGAAGGGGGGAAAATGGAAAAGAAAGAATAAGAAGAGGAGAATAAGAAGGTGGAAAAGATATAAAAGTGGAGGAGGAGGAGGGTAAAGAGGTGAGAGGAGGAAGATGTGGAAGGAGATGGGAAGTGGTGTTGAAAGGTGATGGGAAAAGCTGGGAGGAAGAGTTCGCTGAATGAGAAGTGAATGTGGAAGAGGTAGTGGAGGAAAGAGAAAGTGCAATGTAGAAAAGGCAAATGTGACTGTGTTCAAGAGTCTTCCTACTCCCTCAGCCTAATCCAGGGCTAGGCAGAAAGAAAGATAATTGTGGGTGTGGAAAGAGGGAGGGAAGGCAAGAAAGAAGGGAGGAATGTGATCGACGTTGGATGAGGAAAAAAGTGGGAGGAATAGAGTGCGCAGGAGGTAAATGGATGTGGTGGACTAGTCACTGGTTGGCTGGTGGTAGTGGTTTGAGAAGAGGTAGTAGGACAAAGAAATGAAGGTGTGATAAGGTAGAGGACAGATGTGGTGGTGGATCGGAGTGTGTTAACATAGAGAGAGAGAGAGATTGAGAGAGAGAGAGAGACAGAGAGATTGAGAGAGATTGAGAGAGGGGTTGAGAGAGATTGAGAGAGATTGAGAGAGAGAGATTGAGAGAGATTGAGAGAGATTGAGAGAGAGAGATTGAGAGAGAGAGATTGAGAGAGAGAGATTGAGAGATTGAGAGAGATTGAGAGATTGAGAGAGAGAGATTGAGAGAGATTGAGAGAGAGAGATTGAGAGAGAGAGATTGAGAGAGAGATTGAGAGAGAGAGATTGAGAGAGATTGAGAGAGATTGAGAGAGAGGTTGAGAGAGGTTGAGAGAGATTGAGAGAGATTGAGAGATTGAGAGAGATTGAGAGAGAGATTGAGAGAGAGATTGAGAGAGAGATTGAGAGAGAGATTGAGAGAGATTGAGAGAGAGAGGGTGTTTACATATCTCTCTCTCAATTTCTCTCTCTGTCTCTGCCATCACCCTCTCTCTCTCCCTCAATATCTCTCTCTCTCTCAATCTCTCTCAACCTCTCTCTCAACCTCTCTCTCAACCTCTCAATCTCAACCTCTCAATCTCTCTCTCTCAATCTCTCTCTCTCAATCTCTCTCTCTCAATCTCTCTCTCTCAATCTCTCTCTCTCAATCTCTCTCTCTCAATCTCTCTCTCTCAATCTCTCTCTCTCAATCTCTCTCTCTCAATCTCTCTCTCTCAATCTCTCTCTCTCAATCTCTCTCTCTCAATCTCTCTCTCTCAATCTCTCTCTCTCAATCTCTCTCTCTCAATCTCTCTCTCTCAATCTCTCTCAATCTCTCTCTCTCTCAATCTCTCTCTCTCTCAATCTCTCTCTCTCTCTCAATCTCTCTCTCTCTCAATCTGTCTCTCTCTCAATCTCTCTCTCTCTCAATCTCTCTCTCAATCTCAATCTCTCTCTCTCTATGTTAACACACTGGCTGGTGGTAGTGGTTTGAGAAGAGGTAGTAGGACAAAGAAATGAAGGTGTGATAAGGTAGAGGACAGATGTGGTGGTGGATCAGAGTGTGTTAACATAGAGAGAGAGAGAGAGAGAGAGAGAGAGAGAGAGAGAGAGAGAGATTGAGAGAGAGAGAGAGAGATTGAGAGAGATTGAGAGAGAGATTGAGAGATTGAGAGAGAGAGAGATTGAGAGAGATTGAGAGAGATTGAGAGAGATTGAGAGAGAGAGATTGAGAGAGAGAGATTGAGAGAGAGAGATTGAGAGAGAGAGATTGAGAGAGAGATTGAGAGAGAGAGATTGAGAGAGAGAGATTGGGGAGAGAGAGATTGAGAGAGATTGAGAGAGATTGAGAGAGAGAGATTGAGAGAGAGAGATTGAGAGAGAGAGATTGAGAGAGAGAGATTGAGAGAGATTGAGAGAGATTGAGAGAGATTGAGAGAGAGAGATTGAGAGAGAGATTGAGAGATTGAGAGATTGAGAGAGAGAGATATTGAGGGAGAGAGAGAGATTGAGAGAGAGAGGGTGATGGCAGAGACAAAACGTGCAACAGAAAGTACCTTGAAAAATTATGAATAACAACAATGTATACACATCATGTTATAAAGTATGTGATAAATACTAATGTGGGCAGTAAGAATGGTCTCTTACCTTCTCGGGAACGTGAAGTTTGATCTCGGAAACATTTGGCTTGTGAGAAGGAGAACTCCAATCTATATTTTCCAAGTTTCTGCTGGAGTCTGACATTTCACTGGCACGACTTCGTACAGATCCATATCCGACATCCTACACCGAGAATGCAACATTAACCATGAAGAAGAAAATTTGCTGACATTTTTTGTTACACTTCTCCATATCAAGCATACCTTAAGGCAATACCAAGCAAGGCGGTCAACTCCTTTTCATGCTGTATTCAATATTCTACAATGATATCATTGTAAACAACTTGCCAAATGGAGGGTGAGAACCTATGGCAGGACAATCCTAAAACTAGTAGTGCACTAACCATTGTACCATTCCAAACTGGTACAGTGAGTAGTGCAACTGCCTGCTAATTTTGGGACTGATTTGCCATGGGTTTGAACCCTCCATTCAACGAGTAGTTCAATATTCCCTTTGTCTATTTTTTTCAGGTCTTCTCAAAATAAGTAATACACTAATTTGATTTGAGAAGGTTTGTATACCAATGTGCATCATTGGGACAAAATGCAGTCAGTAATGGTACACAAACCAGCAAATGAGATTAACGAAGAGAATAGTTACAATGCTAGAAAACACTTCTGTATATTAAGTAACAATATGGTCAACTTACAATCACATGATATATTAAATAAATGACAAAATATTTTGCATACTGTTATGCCATAATAATGAGTAATATGCATTAAAGCATTCAAGATATTTTATTTTGAGAAGCAAACTGAAGAAATGCAATGTATACTGAATATCAAGTAAAAAGAAGGATATTTATAAGAAAATTTCATCTTCATAACAAATGACAAAGAAACTGGCTCAATCATCAAGCTAAATTACCAAACTACAAACAAGGAAATTATAAGTGAAATGATATTAAATTAATTAAAAAGCAGCAAAAAGCTAAATACAAAGGTTGGATAAGTTATTGGTATGTTATTGAATTGAGCAAGTTTAGTCTTAGCACCTTAGGTGAAATGTTCCTAGCAAGAATTTTCCAAAGCACTTTAAGCTATTAGTGCATGTACAAAATACCAGCTACTGTTCCAGTTTATGAATATTTAATGCAAAACAACTAACTTTCTATTTATTGATTTTCTTCAACACTAATCACCTAAATACCCTCTTAAAGAAGCCTATAATTTTATGTGAAATATCATACTGCCGTCTCACTTCATCCACTTTTTTTTTTTTTTTCCAACAAGTCGGCCGTCTCCCACCGAGGCAGGGTGACCCAAAAAAGAAAGAAAATCCCCAAAAAGAAAATACTTTCATCATCATTCAACACTTTCACCACACTCGCACATTATCACTGTTTTTGCAGAGGTGCTCAGAATACAACAGTCTAGAAGCATACACATATAAAGATACACAACATATCCCTCCAAACTGCCAATATCATCAATTTCATCCACACTAAAATATATTTGCCCTTCAAACTTTGCATTTGCCAGTGCTATGTACAGTACATTGAGAACCACCTCTTTGGTTTTACAGAAAAATAGATTAACTTATCTACTGAAAGTGAGCCCATTATGTCCACTACTGTATTTAGGTTACTGAAATAACCCACAATACTCTGAACTCTTGCATATAATCCTGATATAATCACTATGTCAGCATGATTCTCTCACTACATTTGTTGTAGACTTATCGTTTGCAGCGAGGATGAGAGGCATACACGGAAGTGCTTTAATGATATTATTAAAGCTTAAACCTTTTTCTCGACATGAGAGCATGCCTGTTGGCATGTCTTCAGTTTTGCTGAGAAAAGTGACACAAGGGATTATTTATTATTGGTAAGAATTCTAGCAACATTAAGTACGTACATGGAAATACGTGCAATACACATTTATTACAGTCAAAGTTCGTTCACAAGGAACTTTGTCAAGCCAAGATCTTGACTTATAACATAGCAAAAATAATTGTCTTATTAGTTGCAAGTGTACATTTACCTAACAAAGAAACCGCAGATTTTGGGGGGATCTAGTTAAAGATCCTCTTTGGGTGGTGGAAGAGGGTCTCTTGCTAGACCTGAAATATTTGCAATATCTCTTACCTTGTAATATGGGATATCCCATATGTATGATGCAATAAACTGTATTAAGGAGTAAATAAAATGCAGTGGCTTCTAGAAGCACTGTGTTCATGCAACCCTCCCAACCTCCCAGTTACCTACGAGTTATCACCACCTCATCAGTAAACAATGTGTCAATGTAATGAGTTAAAAGCACTACTAAATAACAAATGCTAAATTAATTCTGATAAATAATATAATTGTTTTACGTAATGGTAGGATTGCTGGTGTCCTTTTTTCTGTCTCATAAACATGCAAGATTTCAGGTATGTCTTGCTATTTCTACTTACACTTAGGTCACACTACACATACATGTACAAGCATATATATACACACACCCTTCTGGGTTTTTCTGCTATTTTCTTTCTAGTTCTTGTTTATTTCCTCGTATCTCCATGGGGAAGTGGAACAGAATTCTTCCTCCGTAAGCTATGCGTGTCATAAGAGGCTACTAAAATGCTGGGAGCAAGGGGCTAGTAATCCCTTCTCCTGTATATATTACTAAATTTAAAAGGAGAAACTTTTGTTTTTCCTTTTGGGCCACCCCACCTCAGTGGGATACGGCTGGTGCGTTGAAAGAAAGAAATAATATAATGCATACACTAGCCTTAATGTGTCATACAGCAACAACTAATGGAAAATAAAAGCCAATTTCACACCATTATTACTTAAATTCTACAAAATAATAAATTTGAAAAAATATATTAACTTACAGACATCCAATCCTGTGTGAGCATCAGAAGCAAACAAAAAATCATACTAAAATATATTAAGGATCTTGGGACAAAATGCAATTGCAGATCTTCTCATTTAATGCAAAAGGAATAATAATATATTCTTGAAATTTTAAAAGTTTAAAATGCTCAAAAAAGTACTTCAGAGATTGGTACATGCATAACAGATAAAAGAAACATGCAAGGACAAAGTTATTATATTTAAATAAAAAAATCATTAATAGATCACGCTGCGCTTAAACCCACAAAACTTTATAAATTACCCAAAACACAAAACACCTCACTTTCACTTTGGTAAAATTTTAAAGTGCCTCTTTAAGAGTGCTTAGCATTTGAAAAGTATTGGCAATGCCTGCCGAAGATTCTGCACGTGACCACTTTACTTAAGATCAGAGTTTCCCACTGGAAACATGTCATTAGCTTTAATTTTCTTCTCAAATATTTTTTTTCATCTTTTCATCCAGTCTATCATTCAATTAAGAACTGATTATTTTTTAATCTCTACCACAGTATATATTATAGCAGTAACAAATTCAATAGGTTACTGCACTTAATAGCAACAAAATAATTTATAGACAAACAGCTGTGCATATTTGGACATACCAAAATATGTCTGAAGATATCCAAAAAAATTTCTAAAAAGTGATTCCCAGGTATAAGGAAATGACCAAAAATATCTGCAAGGCACTTTAGTGGAAGTGTAGATTTCAATGAAATGCGATTGTATGCCCTTGTTATACTCAGTACTTAATTATTTTAGGGAAAGATTCATCCAAATTTTGCCAGAAATAATTTTAAAGTACATTACTGTATACATAATGACTAAATATTCTGACATACTACTAACAACATTGTGACTACTTACTTCATCACCAATGATAGAACTGAACTCTGATGCATCATCACGGACCAGTTCAGTAGGAGCATCGCTGGCACCACTAATATTACTAATATTGCTTGCTGTTCTCTGAGAGATACAAAAGAACACAACTGTCTTAAACATTTCAGACACCTGTCAGTTACATCTGCACATAACCATAACTGAAAAGTTGAATAAAAGTACAGTAACATTAAAAACTGAATGATCTTGATTCTGTCTTGATATTTTCCTTACATCGTGCACCAGATAATATCTTTATCTGCATTATATTCAAGACTCCCCATTCTTGAGGATGGAGCCACATATATTGCAGGATCTTCCCATATATTTTAAATGTGTTGAAACATTAACAACTGAGCACATGAGATATTTTTGAAAGAACCGACATGCTGATGTAGTTATCGTCAAAAATTTAGCAGTTGTCGCCAGGTTACACTAAGAAACAACATGTGAAAGGAACAAGTACTATCTCTAACTGTATACAAGCAAAAAAAGTATATTAGAAAAATGTGCAAAGGAACAAGTTAGGAAAAAGAAGCAAGACAAATAATTGGAAGATCACAAAGAATGAATACACTGTAAGCATAAAAAAAGATAAGAAATGCTAATGGACAAAGTTATACCTTTAACCTATATTTTTCTTGTTGGTAGAGCTTCCATTAACAAGTGAAGTAAACTGGTCTACTACCAAGAATACATTCTCATTTTAATAAATTACCATACTAATCTTTTGATGAAAGATAGTTGCAAGATATACAGAGCATTTTGACCCATAAGGCTATTCAGCAGTTTTGTTTATGCAAAGTCATATACAATCATATATGCTAGTATATACAAGTTTAACTATCCCTTAAAAATAAAAGGCTTCACATTAACAAAAACAAAAGAAAAACTATTTAGGTATTATCACAGGAAGTGAAAATAATGAACATCTGCTAAACAACATTAAACTGTTAACATTTACCTTATGAGCATTGCCTCCTTTAAACTTTTTTATCTGCTCTTCTAAAAGGTCATTCTTCTGTTCTAAACGATTAAATTCTTTTAATAATCTTTGGTATGCTGTCTTCTCATCTGCGTTCTCCATGATGATTTGTTGCTTCTCGGCTTCAAATTTGCGTCGCAGCATCTCTAAGTAAAACAATAACAAATAAAGCATTATGCTGTGTTGTGATTGATCACACTTTATATAGTGTACAATATACCTTTGATGAGTTCCCAGAGTTTACCTGCTCCCAGAGCCCACCCATGGGCCAGGCTTGTACAGCAAGTATGAGGCAAACAGCGGCAATACTGAGTAGATTTCCAACATATGAATGATTTTAAAGTGGAAGAATATTAATAAGTTTGAGAGTAATAAGAGCGGTGTGAATACCATGGAGAACTCAGAATGAACATATTAAAAGAAAACGTGGGGTAATCAAGGGTAAATTCAGTGCTGAGGGGTTGTTAAGGTGATATGGGCTTGTAGTATGGATGGAAACGGATAGGTTTATGAAGTGTATAAATCTGGAGTGGAAGGTAAAAGAGGTCATCCCAGGAATGGCTGGAGGGAGGAGGTGAAAGAGACAGTTTTAAGGGCTTGAGTACCCAGTAGGTATTATATAAGTATGTTAAATAGGAGTGTCCAGAGACATGTAGTTTTTAATGGACGTGCTATAGAAGTGTGAGTAAGGTATCAGAATTTATCTTAATCCCTTCTGTCCCAATTGCTTAAGTCTACTGCCTCACCCACTTATTCCACTCTGGCACCTTCCCCTTCCTAAACTTACTTTTTAAATGTACAGTGACAATTTTCAAGCTATATTGATATAATAAAAACAATAAAACATTGAAATAACTGTTATATCATAACTAGAATACGATAGTAATTTTTTATTTTTTATTATCACACCGGCCGATTCCCACCAAGGCAGGGTGGCCCGAAAAAGAAAAACTTTCACCATCATTCACTCCATCACTGTCTTGCCAGAAGGGTGCTTTACACTACAGTTTTTAAACTGCAACATTAACACCCCTCCTTCAGAGTGCAGGCACTGTACTTCCCATCTCCAGGACTCAAGTCCGGCCTGCCGGTTTCCTGAATCCCTTCATAAATGTTACTTTGCTCACACTCCAACAGCACTCAAGTATTAAAACCATTTGTTTTCCATTCACTCCTATCAAAAAACGCTCACGCATGCCCTGCTGGAAGTCCAAGCCCCTCGCACACAAAACCTCCTTTACCCCCTCCCTCCAACCCTTCCTAGGCCGACCCCTACCCCGCCTTCCTTCCACTACAGACTGATACACTCTTGAAGTCATTCTGTTTCGCTCCATTCTCTCTACATGTCCGAACCACCTCAACAACCCCTTTCCCCAGCCCTCTGGACAACAGTTTTGGTAATCCCGCACCTCCTCCTAACTTTTCCCAAAATACGAATTCTCTGCATTATATTCACACCACACATTGCCCTCAGACATGACATCTCCACTGCCTCCAGCCTTCTCCTCGCTGCAACATTCATCACCCACGCTTCACACCCATATAGAGCGTTGGTAAACTATACTCCATTACATTCCCCTCTTTGCCTCCAAGGACAAATTTCTTTGTCTCCACAGACTCCTAAGTGCACCACTCACTCTTTTTCCTCATCAATTCTATGATTCACCTCATCTTTCATAGACCCATCTGCTGACACGTCCACTCCCAAATATCTGAATACGTTCACCTCCTCCTTTACTCCTCCCTCCAATCTGATATTCAATTTTCATCCCCAAATCTTTTTGTTATCCTCATAACCTTACTCTTTCCCTTGTAATTCACCTTTAATTTTCTCTTTTGCACACCCTACCAAATTCATCCACCAATCTCTGCAACTTCTCTTCAGAATCTCCCAAGAGCACAGTGTCATCAGCAAAGAGCAGCTGTGACAACTCCCACTTTGTGTGTGATTCTTTATCTTTTAACTCCACGCCTCTTGCCAAGACCCTCGCATTTACTTCTCTTACAACCCCATCTATAAATATATTAAACAACCACGGTGACATCACACATCCTTGTCTAAGGCCTACTTTTACTGGGAAAAAATTTCCCTCTTTCCTACATACTCTAACTTGAGCCTCACTATCCTCGTAAAAACTCTTCACTGCTTTCAGTAACCTACCTCCTACACCATACACTTGCAACATCTGCCACATTGCCCCCCTATCCACCCTGTCATACGCCTTTTCCAAATCCATAAATGCCACAAAGACCTCTTTAGCCTTATCTAAATACTGTTCACTTATATGTTTCACTGTAAACACCTGGTCCACACACCCCCTACCTTTCCTAAAGCCTCCTTGTTCATCTGCTATCCTATTCTCCGTCTTACTCTTAATTCTTTCAATTATAACTCTACCATACACTTTACCAGGTACACTCAACAGACTTATCCCCCTATAATTTTTGCACTCTCTTTTATCCCCTTTGCCTTTATACAAAGGAACTATGCTGCTGCTCTCTGCCAATCCCTAGGTACCTTACCTTCTTCCATACATTTATTAAATAATTGCACCAACCACTCCAAAACTATATCCCCACCTGCTTTTAACATTTCTATCTTTATCCCATCAATCCCGGCTGCCTTACCCCCTTTCATTTTACCTACTGCCTCACGAACTTCCCCACACTCACAACTGGCTCTTCCTCACTCCTACAAGATGTTATTCCTCCTTGCCCTATACACGAAATCACAGCTTCCCTATCTTCATCAACATTTAACAATTCCTCAAAATATTCCTTCCATCTTCCAATACCTCTAACTCTCCATTTAATAACTCTCCTCTCCTATTTTTAACTGACAAATCCATTTGTTCTCTAGGCTTTCTTAACTTGTTAATCTCACTCCAAAACTTTTTCTTATTTTCAACAAAATTTGTTGATAACATCTCACCACTCTCTCATTTGCTCTCTTTTTACATTGCTTCACCACTCTCTTAACTTCTCTCTTTTTCTCCATATACTCTTCCCTCCTTGCATCACTTCTACTTTGTAAAAACTTCTCATATGCTAACTTTTTCTCCCTTACTACTCTCTTTACATCATCATTCCACCAATCGCTCCTCTTCCCTCCTGCACCCACTTTCCTGTAACCACAAACTTCTGCTGAACACTCTAACACTACATTTTTAAACCTACCCCATACCTCTTCGACCCCATTGCCTATGCTCTCATTAGCCCATCTATCCTCCAATAGCTGTTTATATCTTACCCTAACTGCCTCCTCTTTTAGTTTATAAACCTTCACCTCTCTCTTCCCTGATGCTTCTATTCTCCTTGTATCTCATCTACCTTTTACTCTCAGTGTAGCTACAACTAGAAAGTGATCTGATATATCTGTGGCCCTCTATAAACATGTACATCCTGAAGTCTACTCAACAGTCTTTTATCTACCAATACATAATCCAACAAACTACTGTCATTTCGCCCTACATCATATCGTGTATACTTATTTATCCTCTTTTTCTTAAAATATGTATTACCTATAACTAAACCCCTTTCTATACAAAGTTCAATCAAAGGGCTCCCATTATCATTTACACCTGGCACCCCAAACTTACCTACCACACCCTCTCTAAAAGTTTCTCCTACTTTAGCATTCAAGTCCCCTACCACAATTACTCTCTCACTTGGTTCAAAGGCTCCTATACATTCACTTAACATCTCCCAAAATCTCTCTCTCTCCTCTGCATTCCTCTCTTCTCCAGGTGCATACACGCTTATTATGACCCACTTCTCGCATCCAACCTTTACTTTAATCCACATAATTCTTGAATTTACACATTCATATTCTCTTTTCTCCTTCCATAACTGATCATTTAACATTACTGCTACCCCTTCCTTTGCTCTAACTCTCTCAGATACTCCAGATTTAATCCCATTTATTTCCCCCCACTGAAACTCTCCTACCCCTTCAGCTTTGTTTCGCTTAGGGCCAGGACATCCAACTTCTTTTCATTCATAACATCAGCAATCATCTGTTTCTTGTCATCCGCACTACATCCACGCACATTTAAGCAACCCAGTTTTATAAAGTTTTTCTTCTTCTCTTTTTTAGTAATTGTATACAGGAGAAGGGGTTACTAGCCCATTGCTCCCGGCATTTTAGTCGCCTCATACGACACGCATGGCTTACGGAGGAAAGATTCTTTTCCACTTCCCCATGGACAATAGAAGAAATAAAAAAGAACAAGAGCTATTTAGAAAAAGGAGAAAAACCTAGATGTATGTATATATATATATGCATGTGCGTGTCTGTGAAGTGTGACCAAAGTGTAAGTAGGAGTAGCAAGATATCCCTGTTATCTTAGCGTGTTTATGAGACAGAAAAAGAAACCAGCAATCCTACCATCATGCAAAACAGTTACAGGTTTTTGTTTCACAGTCATCTGGCAGGACGGTAGTACTTCCCTGGGTGGTTGCTGTCTACCAACCTACTACCTACTACCTACTACGATAGTAATATTCTTTATATATTTTTACATAATATATAATTACCTTCTGATTCTCGTTTAGTCTCTTCTTTTTTAACCTCTCCAAGTTCTTCTGTTAGCCGTGCATTTTCTGCATTGAGTTTCTCCACCAATTCACGATTCTCCTTCTCCGCCCGCTCCTTCTCACTTAACACGTCCATCTTCTCACCTCGCTCCATCTACATCAAAAAGTGTCAAGGTTATTGTTAAATTCTTGCATAACATAATAATCAATTCAATATATTTTTATTTTTTTTGTACAATCAATTCAATATATATATTTTTTTTTTTTGTAATGTGAAGACATTCAATTTGTTTTTCTCACCTCTACTTCAAGAACAAGAGCTCCAACTTTGGTCTCAAGTTCACGAATACGGTTATTACTGTTCTTCACCTGCACTTCCATACCCTTCATCTCCGTCAAGTGTGTCTTTAGAGTGGCGATCTCTTCTTTGTAACCTTTGATACAGTTGTTTTCATTTTTCTAAGTAGTAAAAAAACAATCTGGTTAAAGTAGCTCATATAATTATACAAGAATGAATTCATTTTAATTTCTTGGGTGTTAAAAATGTGCATTTAAAGGCACATCTTATAATGAATGTTAAGAGGCTAGTCGGTAGAATAATCTGTGCCTGTGGAAGAAAACAGTTATGACTGCTTGTTTCACTGCAATTTAATAACCAAATTACATGATTGAATGATTAATTTTTTTTAAATTAAATTGCACTGTACTGATTAAAATAAATAAATATATATCAAGTTTTGCAAATGTGTCTCAAGAAAAGCATATTATACTTAATATAATCCTGCATGAACAAACATTTCTACCATGTACTAAAAATAAAACAAAACATACAAGCTCCGTAAGCTTCTGTTGGAGCGAGATGATCTTGTTTTCCAGTCCCTTGTTGAGTTTCTTCTGGTGTTCCACCGACTTGGCCTCAATCTTAAGTTTCTTGAGTTTCCTTCTAGCCAGGAAGCAACGCACAAGTCCTTGGGTAATAAGAATGCCACGCATTGCTCTCAAGAAGTGACGCCGTGTCAACCATGCTCGCACGTACTTCTGGATGATAATGGCCTGAAAAAATTATGATTAATTGTAATTAATCATTTCTTATTAATGTATCAGGTTGACAGTATACAGATCCTATGATACATTCAGACATAATCACCCTCATATGAAAGCCTAAGATAAGTTTACAATTTATTTCTTACAACCCCACAGCTGCGAGTCCTGTCTTGGCTGGAAATTTTCAACACGCTATTTACATCTCCTTTATTTATTCCTTATCAGCCCATCTACATTACTAAAAAATAAACAAATTACCCATCTTACATGAGAATCATATGGAATCATAGTACAGTATGACTCACGAAATCGTAATGACACGATTGCAAACAAACCATACCCCGGCCGGGCTGGAGTTTTGAGACTCTCTGACCGCGGGTTCAATCCCGGCCAGGGTATGGTTTGATAGTACAGTATTTCTGTTTATGATGTAGCAAAAAATGTATACAGTATGACAATGGATTTCACTGGCTTTCAATGCTTACTGCTCTGACTCTTCGCATATGCTCGTATCTCTGTCGAGCCCATGCACCACGAGCGTGAGCCTGCAACCGAGTGACAGTGTAAACAAGACGGCGATACTGAACCCTCTTAATCCACCCTCGCACACAGGCCTGAATTTTGATAGCTGCTGCAGTTTGCCGCATGTGATGTACACGTCTGAAAAATGTTAAATTGTATCAATTTAAGACAGTAAAGATATATGCTGATCTCTTAAAAAAAATAGATACCTTAAGAAAGTATCATCACTAAACAGAAACATAAAACAAATACTAATTAAAATTTCAAACAACAGGCTACTCTATCTCTGAAAATATTTATACAGTATTACATTTACTGCATTTACAGCAAGACATATCTGTTCTCAATAAATAATTAATCTACTTATCAGTATAATTGACTCACCTTCGTGCTGCTGTGCCTCTTGAGTACCTTTGTATAGTTATTGCTGCCTTTTTCATGGTTCTGAAGCGATTGCGATGCAAGAACATTCTTACATGTTTCTGAATCATGACACCACAAGCAGATAAACGGTCTGCCCTAAGTTTCTCCATGTAGGCCACCTGACCTGCTCTGAAGAAAATCTTCGTTCGACCAAATTTGAATTTGTCTTCATCCTGCAATATTTCAGGATTTGTAACCAAACACAACAGTCAGGCAGCTACAGTACAGTGGAACCTCGGTATACGACCAGTTCCCTACTGAAGCAAAGCTCAGCACTCAACCCAACAAATACGACCTGCCAGAACTTCACTGTAAACTATTTTGCGTTTCTTTGCATTTTTTGTTTTTCTGAATTATTTGAATAAAGAAGTCACCATGGGGCCTACAAAGATTAGTGATAACAGCCAGCCAAACAGAAAACTGGTTGGGAAGAACTTATCCGATACTCAAATGGAGCAGCACTCGAACAGCCTTCTGGAATGAATTAAAGTCACATACCGAGGTTCCACTTTATCTCATACATATTTTTTTTCCTTGAATAGCTACCCACTGTTCATTCACAGCTTTTAGAGCTTATAATTCTGAATTATTATACAATTACAAACCCAATTCCTGAAACACATTTTACCAGAAATTTTGGTACAAAAATTGGGAATTCAACAACTTAGCCAAAGTATTTTGTCATACACTATGATATTAATACATACACATACAGCATCTGGAAAGAATCTTTCTTGAAAAATAAAGGCTTGAGATAGCAGATAAGGTGGATAAAACTTAGAGAGAAAGGGGTATATGATTATGGGTGTGCAGGAAATATTTAAATATAAGAAGTTTAACCCTTTGACTGTCACGGTCGTATATATACGTCTTACGAGGTACCGTGTTTGACGTATACATACTCATAAATTCTAGCGGCTTCAAATCAAGCAGGAGAAAGCTGGTAGGCCCACGTGAGAGAATGGGTCTGTGTGGTCAGTGCGCACCATAAAAAAAAAATCCCGGAGCAAGCAGTGCATGAGAAAAAAAAAACTCCAACCATTTTTTTTAATTAAAATGCCGAATTTGTGGTCTATTTTCGTATAGTATTTATAGTTGTATTCTCGTTTTCTTGGTCTCATTTGATAGAATGGAAAACATATTATAGAAATAGAGGTGATTTTGATTGATTTTACTATAAAAAGAACCTGGAAATGGAGCTCAAAGTAAGGGAAATGTTTGATTTTTGCCGATGTTAAAAAGTAAACAAATGATGTCATTTTCCAATAAATGTCCAACTAGCCATTCTAATATGCAGTCATGAATGGGTTGATATTATTTATACAATTATTACAGTATTGCAGTAGTCTGCATAACAATTACTCTTCTATTTTTTGTTTGACTAACAATTCAAAATAGAAAGCAAGAGTAATATCAGAGAGGCCTGGAGACATGACTGATGAACAAAGAAAATGTTATTTTAGAGCCTGGAATGTCTGCATTGTTCATTCTGGACCATATTTTGAAACTGTCATATTTTTTAATTTTCGTGAAATTGGCCAAATTGCAAATTTCTGACCACGTTATTGGGTAGTTGAAATCGGTAAATGGGCAGTTTCTTGTACTCAATCGATAGAAAAAATGGAATTCTAAAGAAATAGCTATGAGTTTGGTCAACTGGAACAATGGAATTAGCCAAAAATAGGGCTCAAAGTGAGCGAAATCACCTATTTGTAAATATCATCGAGGTCGCTAACTTCGCGAGAGCGGAATTCCGTCAGTTTTCCATCAAATTTCGTGTTTTTGGTGTCATTACAATCGGGAAAAGATTATCTATCATTTCATAAGAAAAATCATTTTTTTTTTTATATTTTGCGACACCAGGAAACACCTCAGGATTGGGGGTTGCAACAGTCAAAGGGTTAAGGACAAAGGTACTCCACACATAGAAACAGAGGAGCAGTATCTGGAAGATACATTACACAGGTGTGTGTGGAAGACAACTATGAAAAGGGACAGCACATAATACGTTTTTCGTTGATACAATAATGACACAGGAATAAAATTTGAAATCCAAGAATGCAAGTTAAGCCATCAGGACAATATCAGGTATGGTTGGTAATTATAAACCTAACCAAAATGTCATCATAAGCTCCTCTTTCCTATGTGTGGGTTATTTTTGTATTAAACCTAACTGAGATAGAGGGATAATTAAAGATGATGTCATCAGAAATGAAATGGACAGTGATACTGTGGAAGCAACTCCATAGAGAGATTCAGAAGTATGCAGATATGACAGTTGCTGGTAATGTCTGTCAAAGGTTAAGAGGCTGCACTAAGAACTTAAGTCTCATCCCCCAACATTGAAACAAACAATTATATAGTACTTACATTTATCATATTACTAATGATCTTTTCACATGTGATACACATGTCATTCCTTTTAATATCTCTGGAATTGCACAGCACTCGGTATCTACAGAAGAACTCGTTGTATGTCCACCTGCGATTAACATATAAGTAGTAGTAATTTAATAAAATAATTTTATTTTGTATTAGTAAACAAATTTTTTTTTACCAATCTAAGTTCATAGAATGAGCTTTCAATTCTTATTTCTTCTCATTGATTCAATGAATCTAAAGGCAAATATTTATAAGAGCAATACAGCATCTACCATAAATTTTTAACACGCTTAACCATTAGAATTTTATTTGTGAAAACCTGAATGACCTTGAAGAACATGCATTCTTTTAACTGGTGCATTTTCACTAGGCACAAAAAAATAGTTAAAGTTTCATTTGGCAATCCAAGGATACATATAAAAAGGCTCACTAAACTGTAATTAAAGTATATGTGGATATTGATAATTAAAACACAGATATTAAAATACAATAGATACTGAAGTGCACCAGAAACTACAGTGACACCCTTTCCACAAAACTATAGTGTAATGGAAACACACTCATTAATGAATCCAGATATTTTTATTCAATTTAAGAATACATTTCTAAGCATCAAAAAAGTACTGTACTCACCTAGATGGATAACCTGCAGCACTGATTCTAACTGTTTCCAACACACCACACGCCCTCAACTGTTGAATGGCTCGGGTGGGATCAAATGTGAAACTCATTTTATCATCATTAGGTTTAATGCACCTCACATAGTGAGGTGTTGTTGAGTTTAGTGTCAACATTAGTAGGTTAAGTGATTCCCGAAACTGAGAACCAACCTGTGAGAAAATAATTCTATTTAATACATTACTGCCTTCATGGGGAAGTGGAGAAGAATCCTTCCTCCGTAAGCCATGTGTCATAAAAGGTGACTAAAATGCCAGGAGCAAGGGGCTAGTAACCCCGTTCTCCTGTATACAGTACTATATTTATAGAAACTTTTGTTTTTCTTTTTAGGTCACCCTGCCTTGGTGGGATACAGACAGTTTGTTGAAAAAAAATAAGCATATACAGTGGACCCCTGCATAACGATATTAATCCGTTCCTGAGAGCTCATTGTTATGCGAAATTATCATTATGCGAATGAATTTTCCCCATAAGAAATAATGGAATTCAAATTAATCCGTGCAATACACCCAAAAGTATGAAAAAAAAAATTTACCACATGAAATATACATTTTCCTACACACAAAGAGAAGGATACATGCACAATAGTAGAGTAGTACATGCACAATACATATTGTGCATGTACTACTCTACTAAATGAAGAATAAATGACACTTACCTTTATTGAAGATGCAGCAATGACTGATGAGACACTGTATCCTGGGAGTACCTTTTCCTCCTGATACTGTAGGTCCTGTTTGGCATTTTCTTCAGAACAGCCTTATCACACTGTGTATGCCACTATGATTAAATCTCTCAAACCAACACCTTTGCTGGCTTTAAATTCACAATATGAGCACTAGTTCCGGCATTTTTTCCTGTTCACTGGGTGTTAGTCGAATGGGTGGGTTGCATCCTGGGAGACAAGATTAAGGACCCCAATGGAAATTAGTTAGACAGTCTTCGATGACACTGACTTTTTGGTTATCCTGGTGGCTAACCTCTGGGTTAATTGTTTCTTGGTTTCTCAATAAACCCACCAACAACGGTACTACAGCAGCAGCAAGCAGCACAGCGGGCAGCAGCAGCAGTATGACAGGTGCTACAGCCAGCTGACAGTGCTACAGCAGCAGCAGACGATGCTACAGCAGCAGCAGCAGACAATGCTACAGCAGCAGCAGACGATGCTACAGCAGCAGCAGATGGTACTACAGCAGCAGCAGCAGCTGATGGTGGTACAGCAGCAGCAGCAGCTACAGTGCTACAGCAGAAACAGCAGCTGACAGTGCTACAGCGGGCAGCAGCAGCTGACAGTGCTACAACAGCAGCAGCAGCAGCAGCTGACAGTGGTACAGCAGCAGCAGACGATGCTACAGCAGCAGCAGACGGTACTACAGCAGCAGCAGCAGCAGCTGACGGTGGTACAGCAGCAGCAGCAGCAGCTGACAGTGCTACAGCAGCAGCAGACGATGCTACAGCAGCAGCAGACGATGCTACAGCAGCAGCAGATGGTACTACAGCAGCAGCAGCAGCTGACGGTGGTACAGCAGCAGCAGCAGGTGACAGTGCTACAGCAGCAGCAGCTGACAGTGCTACAACAGCAGCAGCAGCAGCAGCTGACGGTGCTACAGCAGCAGCAGCAGCAGACGGTGCTACAGCAGCAGCCAGAACGAGTGCTACAGAGCAGCAGGTCTATAGCAGCAAGACGATGCTACAGCAGCAGCAGACGATGCTACAGCAGCAGCAGACGGTACTACAGCAGCAGCAGCAGCTGACGGTGGTACAGCAGCAGCAGCAGCAGCTGACAGTGCTACAGCAGCAGCAGACGATGCTACAGCAGCAGCAGACGATGCTACAGCAGCAGCAGATGGTACTACAGCAGCAGCAGCAGCAGCAGCTGACGGTGCTACAGCAGCAGCAGCAGCTGACAGTGCTACAGCAGCAGCAGCAGCAGCTGACAGTGCTACAGCAGCAGCAGCAGCAGCTGACAGTGCTACAGCAGCAGCAGCAGCAGCTGACAGTGCTACAGCAGCAGCTGACGGTGGTACAGCAGCAGCAGCTGACGGTGGTACAGCAGCAGCAGCTGACGGTGGTACAGCAGCAGCAGCAGCAGCTGATGGTGCTACAGCAGCAGCAGCAGCTGACGGTGCTACAGCAGCAGCAGCAGCAGCAGCAGCTGACGGTGCTACAGCAGCAGCAGCATCAGCAGTTGACCATGGTACCACAGTATTTTGTTAATATTTCTCACCCTTTTTACCACAGGGTTGGCACTAGAAGCTTTCTTGGGGCCATGGTCACTTATTTTGCAGATAAAATCACCAAAAACGCTGTAATAATATGAAATGTTCCGATTGTATGCTTGGATGTTACCTCGGAGGCTGGCTTGTAAACAATGCCACCGGCGGAACATGTGAGGCTGGCTCAGGCCGCACATTAGATGCGTCTCGGACGAATAGTGTTGAGCGGGTTTTTAGCGGTATGCGAGGCAAAATTTTAGTGATAAAATGTATCGGTAGGGGATTTAACGTTATGTGACACCAACGGTATGCGGGGGTCCACTGTATATATATATACACATGTGGGCCCAGTAACCCCTTCTGTATAAATTACTAAATTTAAAAAGAGAAAGTTTCATTTTTCTTTTTGGGTCACCCTGCCTTGGTGGGATATTGCCGGTTTGTTGAAAAAAAAAATGTACACTTTCTTCTTTCAACACACCGGCCGTATCCCACCAAGGCAGGGTGGCCCAAAAAGAAAAACAAAAGTTTCTCTTTTTAAAGTTAGTAATTTATACAGGAGAAGGGGTTACTAGGCCCTTGAAAAATATACCCATGTATTACTATATACTATACATCATAAATCATTCGTGACTATGCTATGTCATCTAATCTCATATTCATGAAAAATACACATTATATGTTAAACTGATAAGTGGCACAAGTAGAAATAACAAAAATGGATACTCAATACTCACAGTTTTCTTCATTTGTTTTGATTTAGACTGTGTTGGGCCAATGGGTAAGACTTTGACTCTGGTGGGAGCATGTTGCTCCTTCTCCATAAACAGGGCATGTACTAAATTAATCTGTTGAGTTACATAAAATCATTAAAGAGGAAATTTGGTTTAAAATAATTCAATAAAACAAATAATATTTTTCATATGTATCAATAACGCTTAAACAATCTTTATCCATTTCTGAAAAAAGTTAATATAAAAACCTATATTTATTAATGAATTATTTATTGAGAGAGGCTCTACAAACTTGAAAGTAAATGCTTCATTATGGAGTACAATGAAGAAGCCTTTTATCAGACAGAAGCTACTTCAAAAAGCTGTTTAACCAACTTGTTAAAATATATTAAATCCTTGATTTAATTAACCACATTTAGCAAATTATGGACTTAACAGATAATCTACTGTGTACAGTGATTTTGAAAACAATAGACTAAGTCCCCTGGGTACAGACTTGTCTGGTATTGCTATATAATCACAGCAAAACTTCATCTAAAAAAAGTATTGTATATAAAATTACTCAACCATACATTTAACCCCTTTATTTTTAATGGTTATTAAATAATATCTGTGAACTGTGTAAAATGGTACTGCATTATGTATACAGCAGGGTACTGAAGTACTTTTTTTTTTTCGGGGAGGGGGGGAATTATTTTTCAATGTTGCTCAAGATTACTGAACAACTGGCATTTACAGACATTATGGTCACCCCTCCACCCCCATTAGTCCATTAACTCGAAGTTAACTATACTGTAAATTCTTTTAAATACTGCCATTTGTTTTTATATATAATACAAACTAAAATTTGACTACAATTACTCAAATACTGAAATAACCAATGTATTTTGAGTTCACTGACCTGACTAGATTTGAGAATGTTAATCTGCTCCTCGGACACTGTGTCCCGGTTCTTCTCAAGGAAGCCAGCACATTCGTAGCCAACCTTGTCAGCAAAATGTGCTATGAGAAAATTAGTATTGGATAAGCGAGGTTTACTAAAATGGTCCCATTTCTTACACTTTGAATACAATTTCTCTACCCACGACTGATCAGAACCCTTTGGCATCTGAAATAAAAAATAATTTATTAGTAAAAAATATAGTAAAAGCATGTTATCCCAGCAGGGTTATCATAAAATTCAATAAACTATATGACAATATTTTTGTAAAGAACCATTAAACACAGAACTGAGAATATATACTAAAATGAATGTTAACTGCTAATTTATTTTTTTAACATGCTGGCCTTTAAATTTTAAAGAAGTGTGTCTGATGTCTTACTTTACACTCTTCATCCAACAGGTCGAGGATTCCCAGCTTACTCTCGATGAGATCAATACAAGGTTGATTATCATAGAAGTTTATGAACTCCCATTCGATCTGCTCCTTAACATATTCCTCTTGTTCTAACTTGAACACATGCTGAAGAAATATATTATCCTGCTATTAAGATTTGATACTTATGAATTATCTAAAATGATGATGCAATATTACCGACTAATAAAAAAATTATCAAAGTATTGTTACCTTGGTTTTTAATGTAATATTCAGTGTAACATACAGACAAATACTTTCCTATATCACATGGCAAGATTCCAAGCAACACACACCCATACTAAAGTTTAAATTTACTCAACATACAAAACATTAACACTTACTAGGGGCCTTAGTATGTATATAGGGGACACTCAATACAACTATTAACCAAGTAGCTATAACTCTTCTTGGAGAGCTGTAACAGATTGCAGACATAATACAAGTAACAAGCATCTCTAATATCCCACTTACAAGACTCAATCTGCTTAAAACTCCATACAAACAAAGGGGTCCCTAAAATGTAACATACAGTAGAAGGTTCCTAGAATTTCCTTTCTATCAAGTGATTCAAAAATAGTTAAAAAAATCTCTCAAACTGAATGAAAAATTACACAGACTGAATATGTTATATATATCTAATACAACCTATTTATCCAATGTTCCAATCATCATACATACTCATGCACTTGCTGTTACCACTATATTTCTACCCCCAAATAACAACTAAAACTGTCAAATATAATTTTTATTACTATTTCTCCATATTACATAGCTGTTGCAATATATAGCTTATTGTTACTTACAATTACCATTACATTTAACCCTTTCAGGGTTTTGGCTGTACTAGTACGGCTTACGCACCAGGGTTTTTGACGTACTAGTACGCCTAAATTCTAGCGCCCTCCAATCTAGCGAGAGAAAGCTGGTAGGCCTACATATGAAAGAATGGGTCTATGTGGTCAGTGTGCGTGGTATTAAAAAAAATCCTGCAGCACACAGTGCGTAATGAGAAAAAAAAAAAACGGACCATGTTTTTGGAATAAAACAGCGACTTTGCATTGTATTTTCGTATGGTATTTATTATTGTATTCTAGTTTTCCTGGTCTCATTTTATAGAATGAAAGACATATTACAGAAATTGAGATGATTTTGACTGGTTTTACAAAGAAAACTACCTTGAAATTGTGCTCGAAGTAGCAGAAATGTTCGATTTTTACCCAAGTTCAAAAGTAAACAAATCATGCTATGCGTCCAATACACGTCAACTGGTGAGTCTAATATTCTTTCACAAGTGTGCTGATAATATTTATACCATTTCTGCACCAATGCAGTAGTCTGCATAACAGTAAATCTTCTATTTTTTTGAGAATAAAAATTCAAAGTGGAAAGCAAAAGAATGTAAGAGGGGCATGGGGACGTGACTAATGAACAGAGGAAATGTTATTTTAGTGTTAGGAATGTCTTTCTTGTTTATTCTGGACCCTATTCGAAAATTGGCATCTTTTGAAATTTGTGTGAAATTGGCAAAATTACTAAATTCTGACCACTGTATTGGATAGTTGAAATCAGTAAATGGGTGGTTTCTTGTACTCATTCGATAGAAAAAATGGAGTTCTAGAGAAATACTGTAGTTATGATTTTTGTCGACAAGTACACTGGAATTGGCCAAAAATAGGACTCAAAGTGGACAAAATTGCCGATGCGTAAACATCATCGAGACCACTAACTTCATGAGAGCATAATTCCTTAAATTTTCCATCAAATTTCATACTTTTGGTGTCATTATGATCGGGAAAAGATTCTCTATCTTTTCATAAGAAAAAATAATTTTTTTTTTTTTGGGAATTTGGCCAACCCTGAGAACAAGTCTCTGAGAGGGCCTGTCAGCCCTGAAAGGGTTAATAATCGTATATTCAGACAGCTTAAATGTACTAAACTTTGCATTCAAATCAGCTAACTTCATCTATACAACTATATAATATCAAGTAGTTTTTCGTTTTAGTTTTAGTCTGGCCAAAATTTTCTGTATAACCAGAGGTTTTTCAAAAATTTATAAAATAAAAGTCACTTACTTTTGAAAGAAATACAGTTTGTACATACTGAAAATAACACTTGTTTCTTTGTCCGCCTGAACTTTGCTTCCAATTATACCATTACCTGGTAACAGTAAACTCAGTAACAGTGAGCCCAGTAACAGTAAACCTGATGACAGTAAACGCAGTAACAGTAAACGCAGTAACAGTAAACGCAGTAACAGTAAACCCAGTAACAGCTCACCTGATTGAACTGTTGCTGCAGCTTTTCATTTGCATAATTAATGCAAAATTGTTCAAAGCTATTGGTTTCAAAGGTCTCAAAACCATAGATATCAAGAACCCCAATAAATCTGAAAAGAGAGAGAGTAGCATTATTTAAAGAGTGCATCTGGGATGCAGTTGCCTCATTACTACGGGGATGGGGATAAAGTGTCATACAGAACAGAGCTAAAGTTACATCATCAGACCTGACAACACCAAGACAATGAAGCAGTAATTATGACAACAGACATTAACACAAATAAATGACACTGCACAATTATCTCCATAGAAAAGAGTACAGGAGGGCCCAGCTTATACAGCAGGTTAGATTCTGGGCTACTGCTGTAAAGTAAAAATTGCTGTAAAGTGAAACATTATTATTTTTTATTATTATCACACTGGCCGATTCCCACCAAGGCAGGGTGGCCCGAAAAAGAAAAACTTTCACCATCATTCACTCCATCACTGTCTTGCCAGAAGGGTGCTTTACACTACAGTTTTTAAACTGCAACATTAACACCCCTCCTTCAGAGTGCAGGCACTGTACTTCCCATCTCCAGGACTCGAGTCCGGCCTGCCGGTTTCCCTGAATCCCTTCATAAATGTTACTTTGCTCACACTCCAACAGCACGTCAAGTATTAAAAACCATTTGTCTCCATTCACTCCTATCAAACACGCTCATGCATGCCTGCTGGAAGTCCAAGCCCCTCGCACACAAAACCTCCTTTACCCCCTCCCTCCAACCTTTCCTAGGCCGACCCCTACCCCGCCTTCCTTCCACTACAGACTGATACACTCTTGAAGTCATTCTGTTTCGCTCCATTCTCTCTACATGTCCGAACCACCTCAACAACCCTTCCTCAGCCCTCTGGACAACAGTTTTGGTAATCCCGCACCTCCTCCTAACTTCCAAACTACGAATTCTCTGCATTATATTCACACCACACATTGCCCTCAGACATGACATCTCCACTGCCTCCAGCCTTCTCCTCGCTGCAACATTCATCACCCACGCTTCACACCCATATAAGAGCGTTGGTAAAACTATACTCTCATACATTCCCCTCTTTGCCTCCAAGGACAAAGTTCTTTGTCTCCACAGACTCCTAAGTGCACCACTCACTCTTTTTCCCTCATCAATTCTATGATTCACCTCATCTTTCATAGACCCATCTGCTGACACGTCCACTCCCAAATATCTGAATACGTTCACCTCCTCCATACTCTCTCCCTCCAATCTGATATTCAATCTTTCATCACCTAATCTTTTTGTTATCCTCATAACCTTACTCTTTCCTGTATTCACCTTTAATTTTCTTCTTTTGCACACCCTACCAAATTCATCCACCAATCTCTGCAACTTCTCTTCAGAATCTCCCAAGAGCACAGTGTCATCAGCAAAGAGCAGCTGTGACAACTCCCACTTTGTGTGTGATTCTTTATCTTTTAACTCCACGCCTCTTGCCAAGACCCTCGCATTTACTTCTCTTACAACCCCATCTATAAATATATTAAACAACCACGGTGACATCACACATCCTTGTCTAAGGCCTACTTTTACTGGGAAAAAATTTCCCTCTTTCCTACATACTCTAACTTGAGCCTCACTATCCTCGTAAAAACTCTTCACTGCTTTCAGTAACCTACCTCCTACACCATACACTTGCAACATCTGCCACATTGCCCCCCTATCCACCCTGTCATACGCCTTTTCCAAATCCATAAATGCCACAAAGACCTCTTTAGCCTTATCTAAATACTGTTCACTTATATGTTTCACTGTAAACACCTGGTCCACACACCCCCTACCTTTCCTAAAGCCTCCTTGTTCATCTGCTATCCTATTCTCCGTCTTATTCTTAATTCTTTCAATTATAACTCTACCATACACTTTACCAGGTACACTCAACAGACTTATCCCCCTATAATTTTTGCACTCTCTTTTATCCCCTTTGCCTTTATACAAAGGAACTATGCATGCTCTCTGCCAATCCCTAGGTACCTTACCCTCTTCCATACATTTATTAAATAATTGCACCAACCACTCCAAAACTATATCCCCACCTGCTTTTAACATTTCTATCTTTATCCCATCAATCCCGGCTGCCTTACCCCCTTTCATTTTACCTACTGCCTCACGAACTTCCCCCACACTCACAACTGGCTCTTCCTCACTCCTACAAGATGTTATTCCTCCTTGCCCTATACACGAAATCACAGCTTCCCTATCTTCATCAACATTTAAACAATTCCTCAAAATATTCCCTCCATCTTCCCAATACCTCTAACTCTCCATTTAATAACTCTCCTCTCCTATTTTTAACTGACAAATCCATTTGTTCTCAAGGCTTTCTTAACTTGTTAATCTCACTCCAAAACTTTTTCTTATTTTCAACAAAATTTGTTGATAACATCTCACCCACTCTCTCATTTGCTCTCTTTTTACATTGCTTCACCACTCTCTTAACCTCTCTCTTTTTCTCCATATACTCTTCCCTCCTTGCATCACTTCTACTTTGTAAAAACTTCTCATATGCTAACTTTTTCTCCCTTACTACTCTCTTTACATCATCATTCCACCAATCGCTCCTCTTCCCTCCTGCACCCACTTTCCTGTAACCACAAACTTCTGCTGAACACTCTAACACTACATTTTTAATCCTACCCCATACCTCTTCGACCCCATTGCCTATGCTCTCATTAGCCTATCTATCCTCCAATAGCTGTTTATATCTTACCCTAACTGCCTCCTCTTTTAGTTTATAAACCTTCACCTCTCTCTTCCCTGATGCTTCTATTCTCCTTGTATCCCATCTACCTTTTACTCTCAATGTAGCTACAACTAGAAAGTGATCTGATATATCTGTGGCCCCTCTATAAACATGTACATCCTGAAGTCTACTCAACAGTCTTTTATCTACCAATACATAATCCAACAAACTACTGTCATTTCGCCCTACATCATATCTTGTATACTTATTTATCCTCTTTTTCTTAAAATATGTATTACCTATAACTAAACCCCTTTCTATACAAAGTTCAATCAAAGGGCTCCCATTTTCATTTACACCTGGCACCCCAAACTTACCTACCACACCCTCTCTAAAAGTTTCTCCTACTTTAGCATTCAGGTCCCCTACCACAATTACTCTCTCACTTGGTTCAAAGGCTCCTATACATTCACTTAACATCTCCCAAAATCTCTCTCTCTCCTCTGCATTCCTCTCTTCTCCAGGTGCATACACGCTTATTATGACCCACTTCTCACATCCAACCTTTACTTTAATCCACATAATTCTTGAATTTACACATTCATATTCTTTTCTCCTTCCATAACTGATCATTTAACATTACTGCTACCCTTCCTTTGCTCTAACTCTCTCAGATACTCCAGATTTAATCCCATTTATTTCCCCCCACTGAAACTCTCCTACCCCCTTCAGCTTTGTTTCGCTTAGAGCCAGGACATCCAACTTCTTTTCATTCATAACATCAGCAATCATCTGTTTCTTGTCATCCGCACTACATCCACGCACATTTAAGCATCCCAGTTTTATAAAGTTTTTCTTCTTCTCTTTTTTAGTAAATGTATACAGGAGAAGGGGTTACTAGCCCATTGCTCCCGGCATTTTAGTCGCCTCATACGACACGCATGGCTTACGGAGGAAAGATTCTTTTCCACTTCCCCATGGACAATAGAAGAAATGAAAAAGAACAAGAGCTATTTAGAAAAAGGAGAAAAACCTAGATGTATGTATATATATATATGCATGTGCGTGTCTGTGAAGTGTGACCAAAATGTAAGTAGGAGTAGCAAGATATCCCTGTTATCTAGCGTGTTTATGAAACAGAAAAAGAAACCAGCAATCCTACCATCATGCAAAACAGTTACAGGTTTTTGTTTCATAGTCATCTGGCAGGACGGTAGTACTTCCCTGGGTGGTTGCTGTCTACCAACCTACTACCTACTACCTAGAACATTAGTATTATACAATATTTGTGCATGTTTATTGTAATAAACAACAGTGGTAAACAATAATATGATAATAACTTTAGTGCGGTTATTGTGTTCAATACAGTGAGTATATATATATATCAATTATATACAGTATTGGTCTCTCAGGCCCCAAATGTTAGTAGGAATAGAAAAAATTGGAAAAGAAAAGAAAAAACAACTAAAACAACAAAATAATATAATACGCGTATGTGGAATTCGTCGATGTTGCCGCCACCACATCATTTTCTACAAACTTCTTGGCACTGTATCTCGGTAAGTACTGATCAGATTCTAATTTTTTTTGTTTTATTACCTTCACAAAAATATGCTCTTTAATTCTGTAAGAAAAAATAATTTTTTTTTTTTTCAAAATTTCTTGGACACTGGTGCGTGACTTCAGATTTTGGCCTTGGACCCTGAAAGGGTTAATTGTTAATCTCACTCCAAAACTTTTTCTTATTTTCAACAAAATTTGTTGATAACATCTCACCCACTCTCTCATTTGCTCTCTTTTTACATTCCTTCACCACTCTCTTAACCTCTCTCTTTTTCTCCATATACTCTTCCCTCCTTGCATCACTTCTACTTTGTAAAAACTTCTCATATGCTAACTTTTTCTCCCTTACTACTCTCTTTACATCATCATTCCACCAATCGCTCCTTTTCCCTCCTGCACCCACTTTCCTGAAACCACAAACTTCTGCTGAACACTCTAACACTACATTTTTAAGTGAAACATATATTTTTTAAAGTGAAACATATATTTTTTAAAGTGAAACATATATTTTTTAATTTTCAAATGCATATAAAAGCTTGATAACATGTTTACACTATCATATATTAAGTGAGCAACAGAGCTAGGCCTTAAAAAATACATACACAGTACACACATTACTTACTTTAAAATATTTTCAGCCTAAGCTTATAGCGAGTGGTGAATATATTTATAGTAGGAAGTCTGAATAAATGAAGAATGGGTATAATTGAAACTGTTGTATCAGTGAAATGATGTAAAGCAAAGCACTGTAAAGTGGAACCCTCCCATAGTTTCTATCTGTTTATTTATATGTAAATCTGACACAGTGGTAGCCATATTATCATCATCTTCATGGAGAAGCACTAATATGAAGACACCCTGTAGTACAGATGACTCAAACATGAGAAAGCTTCTTTTGAGTAAATGTGCAAGTTTATAATTAGCACACTAGTGTTGATTATTATTGATACTATGCAGTGGGAAGTTAGTATAGGCAGTGTGATACTGCCACTTACCATGGTGCCTATTATAATAGGTTATGAATATGACAAGTGTAATCGACTCCAGAGGTGATACACACACTACAGTATATTTCAACATTATCTCCCATGTCCTCACCATCAATTCCTGATGAGCCTTAAGTCACACAACATTCATAAACACTATATCACCATGTACCATTCATGTATTTGGTATAGGACAAGCATCACATTTTTTGAAAAGCATTTTTTTATATCTTAATTTTGTCAAAAGGGTACAGGTTTAAATACAATAATGTTGATTCCTTTATCAAACAAAAAGGGTGAAGTCCCCTCTAGTGCATTTAAGGAGAGCCACAGTATAATTAAAATGACAAATCCATACTCTTCTAAATACAGAAAACAATTTATGAAGGAATTTTGTTTCTCTTTTTAAGCACCAATAAAAACATCTACATAACATAAGATTTTATTCATGTGTGTTGACAAGTTCAAGCCTGTGTATCTTATGATCCTAGAATTATTAGTTCAACACCTTAACTTACTGCGTCACAGAAGCTGGGCTAGAAATTCTTGGATTGCTAGACAGTAAGTTCAAACCTTATCACTCCATTTGTATAAATGTTTATCATGAATTTTCAAGACAAGTTTTTGTTTTCTGTGTATTTACAAGCTCTTACCTAGAAGGTTTGGCTGTAGCAGCAAAGCACTTGTTGATCTGCTTCACAATCCAGTCAAATAATTTAGCGTAAATGTGTTTGGCTAATGCATCTCTTGAAAATGTTGCCTGAAAATGCAAGAATCATGATAATAATTTTTTATATTCTAACTAAAATTTTCTTAAATGTTCTATGATAAAATACTAAAAGTTAGGCCTCCATTAAACAGGCCAACAAGCTGATAAATATTTTAACCTCAAATAAACTTTTGAAAAAAAAAAATAAAAAATAAGAAAGCTTAGCAACTAAACAGAATTTTGTAATTGCCTTTACCCAGACGTATTCAAATTCTGCTGGTTTATTGAACATCTATATTTTTCTGTTTTATTTATGCCTCACCTTGTATACAACTACAGTAGCAACCACAATTCTGCTCATACATATCACTACTGTAGTAACCATTTTTAACACTGGCTTTATCCCACCGAGGTAGAGAGAAAAGAAAGCATTCACCATTATTCATTCAATTGCTGTCTTGCCAAAAGCATGCTGACATCACAGCTCTGGCAAGACAATGATTCAGTGAATGATGGTGAATGAGTTGCCTCAAGTTTTTGGATTACCCTACCTCAGTGAGAGATGGTTGGTGTTAAACAAAATGGTTCCTAAGTAGTTGTATGTGGTAATGATCATTTTTCTAATTATGCCATCCTCTTCCTCCTGTATAGACTAGGAAGAGCTGTTTCAGTAGTGACAGCAAAAACATGTGCAACATTTCATTGAAGAATTAATGAAAACAAATTATGAAAAAAAGATATTGAAAATAACCTCTAGGGTGTCTGACAATGCAGATATTTTGGTAATTATAACATCTTAAGGTGCATAACAAAGATGATAAACAACCAACCTCAGAAAATGTCATGGGCTTTGTGAAGATTTCTCTACCACTGACAATTTTACGATTACACAGCCACATGCGAATGTCCTCCTTTGGAATACCCAGTAGTTCTGCAACTATGTGAAGTGACTTGTCACTTTTCTGCAGATGAAAAACATTTGCAGCACATCAAGATTTAATAAAATTTACCTTTGTCTCTTGTATCCAAACGCATACAAGAGCACATAGTTTGATTCGTGTACAGGCGGCTTCCAACTTATACAAATGAGGAAGGAGCACTGCAACAGGCCTACTGGCCCATGCTAAGAGGGTTTAACTCTCACCCACCTACTTATGTACTTGTCTAACCTATTTTTAAAGCTACAAAAGATTTTAGCTTTAATGATGCTACTTGGGAGTTTGTTCCACTCAACCACAACTATGTACAGTGGAACCTTAAATATCGAACTTTCTTTGGTCCAGAAGGCTGTTCGAGTGCCTTTACCGAATTAATTTATTCCCATGAGGAATAATGTAAATTAGGTTAGTCCATTTCAGACCCTCAAAAATACACTTATAAAAGCACTTACAAAAATACACTTACATAATTGGTTGTGTTGGGAGCAGTTCGATTTTTGAGGTTCCACTGTATTACCAAACCAATGCTTTCCTATATTCTTACTAAATCTAATATTTTCCAAGTTGAACCAATTATTGCGAGTCCTGTCTAGGTTAGTTATTTTTGGCACGTTATTTACATTCTTTCTTTCAATGCACCAGCCGTATCCCACTGAAGAAGGGTTTCCTAACAAAAAAAAAAAAATTTATTCCTTCTTTGCATTTATACACCTCAATCATATACCCCCTGATTCTATGCCTTTCTAAAGAATGCAGATACAGTCTCCTCATTCTATCCTCATGGGAATGATTTCCGATACATGGGATTAACTTTGTCATCCTTCTTTCTACATTTTCCAGCACATTTATGTCCCTCTTATATAGTCACAGAACTGTGCAGCATAATCTAAATGAGGCCTAACCAAAACTTACAATTTTTACAGCTACCATCCCCAGTACAAATACATACGTGTGAAAAACAACCATTGTTCGTAGTACTGTTTTCTACACAATTATTTTTTCACACAACGGCTGTTTCCCACCAAGGCAGGGTGACCCGAAAAGAAAGAAAAAACTTTCATCATTCAACACCTTCACCATTCTATACAAATATGTTTGTAAATTAAAACATCAGGACTGCAGATCACTTGTAAATATGAAGCCTCCTGTACTATAACAAACAGTGGTACAATGAGAAACTTCTTACATCAATAGTAGAAGAATCACCATCATCTTCTTTAAGCGTTACATTTCCTAGATGCAATATTCCGGCGAGAATTCTAAACATCTGTTCTTGTGTTGCCTCATTAATTCCTAAAAGGGAGAAAGCTCGACACGTTTCCAGAAAGTCTGCAGCATCATCCACACCATCAATGTGAGGGCTGTGGCCTTGGTTAAGGTAATGGAAATTGTCTTGATGGCCTGAGAAAGATATAGCACTGTTACTAACACTTTGTGGCAAGCAAGAAAAATGCATCTACGAAAGCATCATCCACTTACCCTCTCAAAAGTTCAGGTTCAGTGAAAGCAGCTCAAGCAAAGATAGAAATTTTTCCATATGAAATTCATCAAGTGCAGTATTAAAAATACAGTTTTAAGATTGTGCTCAGTTATATTTTATTAATCCATAAGTATGTAATCATTATTAATTATAACCAATGAGAACAATTAGAAGTTAAAGAACAGTTAGTAGGCAGAAGAACTTGAAAATTCTAATCAGACTAAACTGATAACTGATAAAAATATCCCAAATCTCCTTAACACCAATAGCCAGAAAATATAAGCAATGAACAAAAGCAAAAGTGCACACCTGACTGGCAAAACAAGAAAAAGCTAGTCAATTAGATAAGTAGTTTTGGCCTTCCACCAAATATATATGACTATCAGCAAAAAAGGGAGTACTTCTAAGGACTCAGCATCCAAATTTTTAAAAACATTCCATAATAAAGTCTGCAATAGCAAAAATGTCAAACATGAGAGAAATATTTTAATATACAATATGTACAAAAATTATCACAGGTCTGTAATAAAAAAAAATAAATATTTACTCAACTATAATTCTTTCCATTTACAAATATAGCATTATGACAAAAAAAACTTTCTGGTCCGGAAATTTAAAATACATCTTGCAGGTTTATCAGTTTTTATAATGATTATAATTATTGGGCATGAAAGACTGATTATTCTGCTGAGGTTTAGTTCTCTTATCTGCCAATCTTAGTGGCTGTTTAAGAGTGTACAGTATAATAGCAAAGCTCTTAAATCTATCTAATATTGACAAAGACTGGAAGAGTGTCACTCATGAGACACAAGTACTTCAGTATTAAGCACAGTATCTATAAAAATGATTCAGTAATATTGCAAAACAAAGTATTTATGAAATGTTGCAAGCTTTAGGACTATCAAATATTTACAAGAGAGATGGTAAGACTTCTGCACATCAGAGATTGAGGAGTTCACCTTTCTGCTGTTTACAGATGTTCTACACTGACTGCCTGGCCTGGGACCAGGCTTCCCTGATCACCACAAAATCAGTCAGACAACTGGTGGTTGCAGCCTACACATACATCTCAAACTATAATCTAGCACAGGTAAACCTGTCATATTCCTTCAGCAAACATTCGTCTAAAATGCCTTGGTTCCTCTTATCAAGTTCATCTTTTATTTATCATATCTCTCAGGCAAGCTCTTCTACTGGCTATGGATCAGAGACCTAAAATTCAATCATTTTTACGTATTGCTTATTAGGTACAGGATCTACATTTCAGAGAGTACTTTAAGGGGGTTCCAGTAATTTGGATGCTTTACTGAGTCTATGGCGAGGTAAAATATCTAAAACATCTAGTTAGGCTATCTCGGCTGCTTTGAAATAGATATTAACATAAAACAGTACAGTATTCTAAATGACAGCACAAGTGCCTTAACAAGTGTCATTAGTGTGGCTCTGCAAGTTTTGAATGTTCTCATAATAAATAACACTTCCCTAGCTAAAACTATCCTTGAATGGCATTGTGATTTATCAGTATCGGTTAAATACTTAAGGCTTTGTCATAAATAAAGGTGAAATGTACTTCCTATATCAGATGGGGGCTCTCTTCATCCTTTAGATACCCAGTTTCTTAACAAACCTGATCTACCATAACAATATAGTCTGCTATACCGTCCAATCTATTACTATCTTCCTGTAACTCACTCTTGGTAATTGCTGCAATAGCTGTTCCCTTTACTGATTCACCAAAACACACACTTACTGTATACCTGGAGTTTACCTGGAGAGAGTTCCGGGGGTCAACGCCCCCACGGCCCGGTCTGTAACATGCTGAATCACTCATTATATACAGCATATCTAATTTATCTAAAGCAACAAAAATATTCAGCTAAATGCCTTAAATTTTTTTCTGCAGGTATTTAAAATTTAAATACCAAATTCACTTGTGTGGTAGCCAGATCCTGAACAAGAGAACAGCACTTCCAAGTCATTATAATGCAAAAGGTGCTGCACTTAAAACATTCCATGGCAAGTAATGAACATGCCATCTACTATTTCCTTTCAACAAGATACTCCTCCACCATCAAACTCTCTTCATATAAGCATTGATAAGCATACTGTAGCACACTGGCCATTCACTCGTGTGCTTTAGTGTCCTCTTCAAAATTTTGTGTTGACACAGGGTACTGTTACACACAAGCTTAGAATAAAGCAATATTTTCCTGGATGCCAGTGTATCACCCAAGTGTTCAACAAACACCAAAATAGTAAAGGAATCTTAGCAATGTATCTAGTAAATTACATATGCAATTTGTCTCTTCATAGGCAGGTAAAAATTTAGCAGATACAATGAATGCCAATAAGAGTCTAGCAAGGTGCACAGCAAATCAACATGCTAGTTAAGCAAAGCATGATGGTCTGGCAGCATCACCACACACTCAGCGCTCACTGAACCACACCCTTGCGGGTCTTGGATGACTGTTTGGGAGCCTCCTGTAGTCCTTGATTCAGGTAGTGAAAACTTTCCGGAGGGCCTAAAGGAGAAGGCACTGCATGTAACCAACTTGAATCATAAAATAGGTAAAATTAAGGAGGAACACCAGCCACAGTGTGTGCTACATAGTTGGTATGTAACACTGAGATATAAAAAACAAAAATAAATATCTACTTACCCTTAGTTTTAAGATAAAATATAATTTTATATTTACATAACTGAATAGTAACTAAAAGCACAACAGTTATTCAGTGCATGTAATAAAGCTAAACAGTTTAAGCCTCAAAAATATTACAAGTAACAGGACTTTTCAAATTTACAACATATTTCAGAGGTATTTGGCCTACATCCTGCAAATTATCATTTGAACCTCAGCCCATCTATTATACTCTATTCATTTTTTATCATCAACACTGAAAACATAAAAAGTAACAGAATCATATATTTTTCAACCATATTGGCCATCACCTACCAAGGTAGGTAGTGGGGAAGAAAAAAAAATCACCACCACTCATTCAAAAGCAGTTTTGACAGAAGTGCACAAACATCACATGTCAAGAAACCCTTTGAACTTTAACATCTTCCTCCCTCCCTCCTCCACAGTGCAGACACTGTACTTCCACCTGTCCCATCCTGAGTCATTATCAAGCCATGAGTGAATAATGGCCTAGGATGAATTGAATTATAGTTCATTTTTTATCTTCAGTTAGTGGGTTAACAGCAAACTGTTCAGATCATCCTACTGTGACACACTTCTGGAACTGCAACTAAGAACTGACTCTTTTAGTTACATCTATATTTTGGCCTATTCAGTGGCTTATCTTATAAATTACTGTACTATTAAATACTAATTTTAAATCTTCTCTCAAGTAGTTCCTAATACCTTATATTTCTTACCAATTTTACTTGTTATTTCCATAGATTTCCCAAGACAATATCCAAGTAACGATCAGGCAGAAGCCAAGGGGTCCACAAGGCTACTGGATAATGCAAATACGTATGTATATGGCTCCAGGTCAAACCTGACTTATGGGGAACCTTTTTCTGAGTTCCGTGTTTCATTAAGACAATACACAAATGCAAAAGTTCTCGATTCATGAATGTTTCACGATGCCCACATATTCCTCTCATGAAGAGATTGAAATTAACAGAGCCAGATTTAAGGGGGTGGAAACAGGTGCCCCCAACACATTATGGGGCTCCCTTCCCCCAAAAATAATCAATACTACAAAAAATATTAATTTATAGTAGATAATTAAAAACAATGTACAGTGGACCCCCGGTTAACGATTTTAATCCGTGCAAGAGGGATAATTGTTATGCGAAATAATCGTTATGCGAATGAATTTTCCCCATAAGAAATAATGGAAATAAAATTAATCCGTGCAAGACGCCCAAAAGTATGAAAAAAATTTTTTTTTACCACATGAAATGTTAATTTTAATACACACAAACTGAAAAAGGCATGCACAATTACATGACACTTACTTTTATTGAAGATCTGGTGATGATTGATGGGATGGGAGGAGGGGAGAGCATTATCTTCTTACTGTTTAGAAGGGGAATCCCCTTCCATTACGACTTGAGGTAGCAAGTCCTTTTCCGGGGTTACTTCCCTTCTTCTTTTAATGCCACTAGCACCAGCTTGAGAGTCACTGGACCTCTGTCGCACAACAAATCTGTCCATAGAGCTCTGTACCTCCCGTTCCTTTACGATTTGTCTAAAATGGGCCACAACATTGTCATTGAAATAGTCACCAGCACGGCTTGCAACAGCTGTGTCAGGGTGATTTTCATCTATAAAGGTTTGCAGTTCAACCCACTGTGCACACATTTCCTTAATCTTTGAAGTAGGCACAATGGATTCCACAACTGGCATAGGCTTCTCAGGGTTAGCCCCAAACCCTTCAAAATCTTTCTTAATTTCCATACTAATTCTCACCCTTTTTACCACAGGGTTGGCACTAGAAGCTTTCTTGGGGCCCATGGTCACTTATTTTCCAGAAACAGCACCGAAAACACTGTAATAATACGAAATATTCCGAGTGTATGCTTGGATGTTACCGCGGAGGCTGGCTGGTAAACAATGGGACGGGCGGCACATGTGAGGGCACATTGGACGCGTCTCGGACGAAAATCGGTGAGCGGGTTTTTAATCGGTATGCGCGGCAAAAATTTTGCGATAAAAGTAAGCGGTATGCGGAAAAATCGCTATGTGATGCCATCGTTATGCGGGGGTCCACTGTAATAAGTACTCTGATATCTGACTAAAAGAAATACTGCAATTAAAAATATTTATAAATAATTTACACTGCATATTTACTAGTGCCAAGCTCGGTCTTAAGAGAGGAAAAAGTCTTCAAAACTGTTGATCCAGGAACCCCTACATGACTAAATCTGGCCCTGGAAATTAGGTACAGCGTTTACAAGTAAATACTTAAGAGAATCTTTCTTTTTATATTATTACCAGAAGTTAATACAATGAAAATGTGTCACTTACCTAATTGCAGATCTTTATATTTTTCATCTGATGATGCAGAGCACAATTGGTAAAAGATATGGTAATTTCTCTCTTCTGGTGCCTTCAAAAAGAAAACCAGAAATGAGTAATGCAACAAATACAGTAGATAATTCTATGTTTTGGCTTAATTTAATATACTAGACAAAATAAAACACTATGAATTCAGCACAAAAAATACAATTAACATAAAAAGTTTACCTGAAAGACCACACGAGACTTTTCCAAGAGGTAAGTTCTCATATTGGCACCCATTATACTGTAGTTACGTGTGAAGTCAAGCTCTATGTATTTTCCAAACCGCGAACTATTATCATTTCGTGTAGTTTTTGCATTACCTATGGCCTGAAACAAAAGAGCATTAAAAAATTATGAACAAGAGATGTATGGGAAAACATGCCTTATTACAATAGTGCATTTGCAAATCTGCCATTGTTGCACATATCCAAGATGTTGGGCTGGGGTTGATACTACTAAACAATCGTGAAAAGATTCTTTCCCTATCTATTATCAGGAAGCCCATTCTTATTTTGCAAAAAAAAAACTTTGACCTTATTTAAATATACCTCACAAAAATAAGAGTAAACACTTAAACAGCAAATGATAGGCACGTTTCTCTTCTCACCTCCATTATAGGATTTGATGCAAGGATCTTCTTCTCGACCTGCGTCTCAGAATCGGAGCCACCAACACTGGCGAAGTATCTCATGGCATATTTAGCCGACACCGTTTTGCCAGCACCCGATTCTCCCGACACAATGATGCTTTGATCTTTGTTATCCCTAGTGTTATAAACAAAAGGAAAATGTTGTATATGTATGCGAGATTAATAAACAATGTTACTAGTGTGAGAACTTTAAGCTTTCACATTAAACATGCTAATAAATTTAATAACTTCAGAAAGTTATTTGCAAAAAAATATCAAACTTTTTTTTTAACCCCCAGCTACAGTTGCTTGCTGCTGTTAATTTGCACTTTTGATTAAAGTTCACTTCTACTAAATACACATTATACAAAATAACTAATTTAAAAAAAAGCTCATTATCAGTCCTGGTATTCTGAGCACCAAACATAACCTTGTCCCTAATTTAAACAAAGTTAGTGTTTACCAAGAAACTCTTATGCAGTGATGTTTAGAAAAGTTGAAGCATACAATAAAAACACATACAAAAAATAATAAAATTACCTTAAGTTTATTAGCTGCAACTTTTACATATTTTCTTTCTTTCAACGCACCAGCCGTATCCCACTGAGGTGGGGTGGCCCAAAAGGAAAAATTAAAGTTTCTCCTTTTAAATTTAGTAATACTATATACAGGAGAAGGGGTTACTAGCCACTTGCTCCCGGTATTTTAGTTGCCTCTTACGACATGCATGGCTTACGAAGGAAGAATTCTGTTCCACTTCCCCATGGAGATAAGAGGAAATAAACAAGAACAAGAACTAGAAAGAAAATAGAAGAAAACCCAGAGGGGAATGTATATATATGCTTGTACATGTATGTGCAGTATGACCTAAATGTAAGTAGAAGTAGCAAGATGTACCTGAAATCTTGCATGTTTATGAAACAGAAAAAAGAACACCAGCACTCCTACCATCATGTAAAACAATTACAGGCTTTCGTTTTACACTCACTTGGCAGGACGGTAGTACCTCCCTGGGGGGTTGCTGTCTACCAACCTACTACCTATAACTTTTACATATTTTTTTTTTTTTTCAACAAGTCGGTCGTCTCCCACCGAGGCAGGGTGACCCAAAAAAGAAAGAAAATCCCCAAAAAGAAAATACTTTCATCATCATTCAACACTTTCACCACACTCACACATTATCACTGCTTTTGCAGAGGTGCTCAGAATACAACAGTTTAGAAGCATATACGTATAAAGATACACAACATATCCCTCCAAACTGCCAATATCCCAAACCCCTCCTTTAAAGTGCAGGCATTGTACTTCCCATTTCCAGGACTCAAGTCCGACTATATGAAAATAACCGGTTTCCCTGAATCCCTTCACTAAATATTACCCTGCTCACACTCCAACAGATCGTCAGGTCCCAAGTATCATTCGTCTCCATTCACTCCTATCTAACATGCTCATGCACGCTTGCTGGAAGTCCAAGCCCCTCGCCCACAAAACCTCCTTTACCCCCTCTTTCCAACCCTTTCGAGGACGACCCCTACCCCTCTTTCCTTCCCCTATAGATTTATATGCTTTCCATGTCATTCTACTTTGATCCATTCTCTCATATGTAGTAAGAATATAGCAATAAGTTAGGATGGTAAACTTACATTATATTAAATACAGAGAACGCTCCCTTAATAAATAAATGTAAAGTATATTCGGAATACTAATCTATTTTTTTTTTAACATGAACATAAAATGCTATACATACAGCAGATATCATTACATATATGAAGCTAAGAAATAAAACAATGACTTACTGTCATAATAAGCAGTCTGGTACAATGAATAAGAGATACAGTACCTCTCCATCTGTGTAAAAGCTTCTTCAGCAACAGCAAAGATGTGAGGATCAAGATCACCCATGGAGTGGCCTCGATAAGCTGAAATAGTGTCTGGGCCATAGATAGGGAGCTCCTCGTATGGGTTGATGGCCACAAGAACAATTCCTGTAAGGTAAGGTTATATTTTTGGTGAATGGGTGTATTACTTCAAAGCCATTGTTAAAAATATCCTTTGAATTTCATGAAATCTTTTAATAAGCAGGATGTGATAAACTGCTAAACCATATACAAAAGCAAACCAGTGAAAGACAGCAATCAAAGATACAAGCTCTCAAGATTCAATATACCATGAAGTATTGTATTCATTGTTCCAGCCGTGGTATTCTGTATTTTGTTTTTTTATTGTACAACATCAGACATAGTTTTTCCAGTTCTTATTTCAGGTAACTTACCGCAATATGTGTAGATGGCATTGTGGTTGCAGAAGCGAACTTGTAAGTTATAAAGGACAGCAGGTTCATGAAGGTACGAGAGAGAGGTGAGGTCATTTTCGCCTATTAATATGTCAGGATTCCGTAGCGGTGGTAAATCTTCGTCACTTTTCACCTTGAACTCGTCAGTCTGGCAGTAGTTTGTGAAAAATTTATGTTATAAAATATAGTGCTTTAATATCACTTCATAAATATTGTTCTTAAGAATCTTAATATAGTTATCTATTACATGGATAACATATTTTTGAATTATAAAAAAGATAATTATGAAAATACTTACCAGCTTAACAACTCAATATATACATGCACAACAAACATTACTCTTCTCATCATGCATAGTGTATTCCACACGGTCAAGAATACATAGCTAAAACAAATTTTTTTAAAGTTAAAAATTCCTGGTTGTTATGAAAGTTTTTAACCCGTAAACGGTCCAAGCAGATCTATGTTCACATGTGTAGTGCTACAAAAGTAGATCTATGTTTTTTTTACATATTTTCAAATATAACAAAAAAAAAGTAGATCAAAGTTGTTTTCCACATTTTCAAATGTAAAAACACAAAAAGAAGATCTACTTTTTTTTACATACTTTCAAATGTTGAAAAAACGTATACTATATACGTTTGGACCGTTTACAGGTTAAACAAAAGAATAGCACTTTTAATTGTCAGAATTTTACATTCTTTTCAGAGTACAATAGTACTTGTTTTCCAAGCATGGTGGTTTATCACTCAAAATGGAAATAATAAAAGCATTTCTGTACAGACTATAATAAGAGTAATATCGTGTACAGTATTACTATATCTCACTTTCAATAATGAAATTTAAGAATACATATTTGCTTTTTGTTTTTTCTGGAACACATTTTGTTTTAGAGTGCCATATCGTATCTCGGCATTATACTCATTTTGGCGTATTGTATCATACAAGTTTCAGAGTATCATGCAAATTTTACATAATCATACTTGTAACAGAGGAGACAGTATCATACTGTACCAGTTTTTCAGCATCATACTTGTATCAGAGGACACAGTATCATACCATACCAGTTTTTGAGTATCATACATTTCAGAATATCATACTGTAAAATGGGGTAATTGCACCACCACCTAAAAGTGCCAAATGTCTGAGTAGTTTCTAAAATATGTACAACTTGACTGGTAAATAGCTTCCAAATACAGCCTCTCCTCACTTAGTGATGTACTCATTTACTGACGACTCGGACTCATGCGGGCTTTCTGACCAGTATGCATACCTATGTACAGTGGACCCCCGCATAACGATTACCTCCGAATGCGACCAATTATGTAAGTGTATTTATGTAAGTGTGTTTGTACGTGTATGTTTGGGGGTCTGAAATGGACTAATCTACTTCACAATATTCCTTATGGGAACAAATTCAGTCAGTACTGGCACCTGAACACACTTATGGAGTGAAAAAATATCGTTAACCGGGGGTCCACTGTATATTAGAGTTGATTTCCTCTGTTCTATTTATTACAATATACAGCACACTATTGTATAAACATTTAAAAATACTGTATACTAAAAATGTTTAAATGGTGCAAAGGTAACATTAAAACAATATCAAAGATAGCTGACACAAACCCACCACCATTATAGTATGCTCCTTGCTTAGCGACAAATTCGTTTACCAATGTAGTCTTAGGAACGGAACTCTGTCGTTAAGTGAGGAGAGGCTGTATACTGTATCAGACAAAGGATAAAGGATTTTGTCTGTTGAATCCAAAATCCATTAAATCAAAGTCTATTAAATGGAAGCTTTACTGTAAATAAATTCTAAAGGAAGAAAACTAATAAATAAGTGCATCACTTCTTTTAAATAAAAACTTTCTAAATACTGCAGCACAAACACTAACTGAAACATGCAATTATTTACATATTAATAAATGCAAGACCACTGAAACATACAACCATGTGAATAAATACTGATGAAAAAATAACACAAGTGTACTTTCTTGATTTTCAAACACATTTTTGGAGAAACTATTTTTTCATAACTGTTTTCATACTTGAAGTCATGTGGCTTATAGTGATTTCTTGCATTACTACTATATATAACATTTCCTAATTATACATTAACCACCAGGCACACGAAAATATAGTAATGCTGTCATAGAAATCAAGCCATGCTGTACATAAGATCATCAAATGTGCCTGACTTACATGTTGTACTCCCTGTTGAGACCCACAGCGAACACCAGCAGCCAATGCCAATTGAAGCAGAACAACACAGCACAGTCAAGATGTGATGGAATCAGTTCCATGGGAAGAACACATTACATAAGACCTTTTATACCAAGGTTATCTCCTGGCAACACTAATTATCCTGAATAATTCACAAACTAACTGAAGTGCTGTAGTTGAAATTTGTTCTAGCCATGGTATTGTGGCTTATTCACTCAAGAAAAGCTACTGCTCATATCTGAAAAACCTAACAATAAACACCAAGGAAAATTCACAGCTAATTCCCAAACTGATGTACTGCGACTTATTTACCCTGGTGAAGTTATAGGTCCTATGCAGAGAGACAAGGTCATTATACGTAAGCTGGCTGATAATTGCAGGAGAAACAATATATAGCTTTAGGGTTACTGATAAATACTTTACACTAAAAAGAAAAAAGTTATAGGAAAGAATTTAGAGAAAGTAATCTGCAATAGAAAGGGGTGTTATGTATGATTATTAAGTAAAGCTTTCAAACAATATCCCCATTATACTGAGCTAAAAATACTGAAACTTACTTTTTAAAATTCTCAGACAAATGAATGAAAAAAAAAAATTCATTCATCACTTTAAAGTAAATCTTACAACACTGTAAGGAAAAAGACAAATAAGAGAAGCCTCAGTAGTACTGACATTGATGCTTCTGCCTATAGTGTATATAATAGCATATTTTAACAGTAGGAAAGAATACAGAAAAAGAGTTACTTAAAACAATACGAAATACTGTAGAGTACCTGAGAGTCAGCATAGATGACAGCCACCAGGTGATCCTTGTAATCTTTAGTGAGCTCAGCGCACCGCCACACCTGCTCTGCGTCCGGGATCCATACACGGGCGCCCTGCAACCATACACAAATTACTAATGTAATAGGTAACGTTAAATGATAAGGATAACTGGGGTCCAATCCACCAGTTATCCTTACACAGCCCGCATATTTATGGATAACTGGGGTCAAATCCACCAGTTAACCTTACACAGCCCCCATATATAAGTTAAATCTCTGACATCTCGGGAAACAGGCAGGACTCGAGCAGTGGTATACAAATTTTAAAATTACCAAGCAACAAGTACATGTTCTTACAACTACACTGTGCCTGCCTAATATGATTAATCTAACTAGTTTTATTTATATATTCTGGGGAGATTAGTATGGGCTTCACTGTGATAAGATGAACTTAACTGTCTCAATAAATCACAGGCATTTCTCTTGCCCAACCCTAAAACAAAATTAAACACAAACAGCAGCATCAGCAGCCACTTCAATGATTTCACAGAGGCAAGAACATTTATTTTCATCAGAGAAGCACTAAACTCACTAGGGCCATTCAGCCCCTGGGGAATGGAAGGTATTTAGGCTCAATCCAAAGAGAGGTCAAGTCCAGTTCCTTGGATCAAGAGCCTCCTTTCCAGCATCAAGAGAGAAACAACAGTAGAAACCACCACCACCATCTACTCTTCATCATCTTACAACCTTCACAAAAATCTAGTGAGGTACTGTACTATCGTTCATTTATATCAATAAAAAAATTAAAACTTTTCAAATGTTTTGCACTCTGGCAAGACTACTTTTATTTCATTCACGATTATGTCTGATCGCAGGTAATTTTATAAACTATTTACATTCAATATACTTTAATTCAAATATAGAGGGTATGTCTCCTGACAAAAGCTCAATGCATCATCGTTACTTCTCCTGTACTTCTTAACAGTTATTATTCCCGTTATATTTCCTTATTTTTACTTAGAGAACAGAACACTTCACTGTCGAAGTTGTAGATTTGTTACTCATATTGGAGTTATGGCCAACACCACAGTTTGATTAGGGAAAGAAAATATTTTTAAAGGGGTGGACCAGTAAGCCAATGGAAGGCCTTGGTCAGAAGACCAAAAGCTGCAGCGGCGGGTCATCATACGACTAAGACCAGCGTCAGGAAATACTAGTCTTGTTTCCTGACGAAGCTTACCTAACCTACCCACAGCTTACACCATATAGGTTTTTCTTTTCACTTTCTTTCCCCTGGCAACGAGTCACGACGTCAACCGCGTGTACACGAGGATGGAAGAACGTGAAGCCTCTGTTCGTAAATACATAGTTGGTCTTCAACTGTATGAAATGTATGAAGTTACATCTGATTAGTGGAAGATCCATGTGAAATAACCGAAGCTTTTTTATGAGATGTGAGACTATTACCCAGTATAACATATCCAAATGTTAACTACTTGGTATTTTCACTTAGCCCATATAAATCCGAAGATTTGAAGATATCTACGCACTTCTTTAGCCTTAGTCAGGAAGTGGAATGACCTATACAGTAAAGTGGTCGAGGCAGGATCCGTACGTAACTTAAAGAAAAGGTATGATAGGACTCAAGCAGCCAAGAGTGTGAACCATGTAGAAAGGCAGGGCCAGGAGCTGAGATCGACTCCCGCAACCACAATTGTGTGTGTGCACGCGTCTAGGAACAGCTGATGAGCAGGAAAGCAGTTTCTGTTCCGTCTATGTACAGTAACTATCATGTAGAACTGGGTAGCAGAAAACTGATAATTTATTCAGCTTTGCCAGATCAAAACAATCTATGGCGCCTCGACCAATCGTCCAAGGAGCTGGTGATAAGGAAAAAAATTTAGTCGATTATTAACCCGGGATAACTCAATAGTTAGTTCGTCATCGAGAACCGTCGTATTTCTAATGGAGTCCTTTTAATCCTGTACCAACAACAGTCTGCAAACACCCAGGCACGCACTTACTGCTAGGTGAACAGTGGCAGCAGATGTATGGAAACGTTACACGTTATGTATGGAAACGTGCCTAATGTTGCACCTGTCCCGGGAAGCGAACCCAGTTCCCTTGGCATGTGAGTCGAGGATGCTACCAACCAAGCCACGCAGACAAACGTCCCAAGGAAAAAAGCGGCGGAGAATTCATCAGCGATGCTCAGGGCAGGAGTAGAGCTAGACGTCCGCACGCCAAGGACAGCGCACAAGTCGGCTGAACATACGACAAACCATTGACGAGGTTAGGTTAGGTAAGGCTTCTCAGGAAATAGGACAGGCGTTTCCTGACACGGGTCTTAGGCATATAATGACCTGCAGCTGGAGCTTTTGGTCATCTGACCGAAGCCTTCCGCTGGCTTACCGGTCCACCCCTTGAAAAATTATAGTTATAATTATAATTGTTTACTTATATGTACTGACGAGGGCTGACACTTGTTCCTCTCACAGGTCCGAGTGTTCGGGAACCAGGAAAGTCTCTCTCCTGATGTTGCTTCCTACGATCCAGCGGCTTTTATAGGAACAGCCTTATCAACAGCCAATAAAACTGTATTGGCCATGGCAGTGTGTTTCCTTCAATAAACGAGAGGGAGGTGCCAGTGTGGTATATATATATTTATATATATATATATATATATATATATATATATATATATATATATATATATATAGTTTTTTTTTTATCACACTGGCCGATTCCCACCAAGGCAGGGTGGCCCGAAAAAGAAAAACTTTCACCATCATTCACTCCATCACTGTCTTGCCAGAAGGGTGCTTTACACTACAGCTTTTAAACTGCAACATTAACACCCCTCCTTCAGAGTGCAGGCACTGTACTTCCCATCTCCAGGACTCAAGTCCGGCCTGCCGGTTTCCCTGAACCCCTTCATAAATATTACTTGCTCACACTCCAACAGCACGTCAAGTATTAAAAACCATTTGTCTCCATTCACTCCTATCAAACACGCTCACGCATGCCTGCTGGAAGTCCAAGCCCCTCGCACACAAAACCTCCTTTACCCCCTTCCTCCAACCTTTCCTAGGCCGACCCCTACCCCGCCTTCCTTCCACTACAGACTGATACACTCTTGAAGTCACTCTGTTTCGCTCCATTCTCTCTACATATCCAAACCACCTCAACAACCCTTCTTCAGCCCTCTGGACAACAGTTTTGGTAATCCCGCACCTCCTCCTAACTTCCAAACTACGAATTCTCTGCATTATATTCACCACACATTGCCCTCAGACATGACATCTCCACTGCCTCCAGCCTTCTCCTCGCTGCAACATTCATCACCCATGCTTCACACCCATACAAGAGCGTTGGTAAAACTATACTCTCATATATTCCCCTCTTTGCCTCCAAGGACAAAGTTCTTTGTCTCCACAGACTCCTAAGTGCACCGCTCACCCTTTTCCCTCATCAATTCTATGATTCACCTCATCTTTCATAGACCCATCCGCTGACACGTCCACTCCCAAATATCTGAATACATTCACCTCCTCCATACTCTCTCCCTCCAATCTGATATCCAATCTTTCATCACCTAATCTTTTTGTTATCCTCATAACCTTACTCTTTCCTGTATTCACTTTAATTTTCTTCTTTTGCACACCCTACCAAATTCATCCACCAATCTCTGCAGCTTCTCTTCAGAATCTCCCAAAGCACAGTGTCATCAGCAAAGAGCAACTGCGACAACTCCCACTTTATGTGTGATTCTTATCTTTTAACTCCACACCTCTTGCCAAGACCCTCGCATTTACTTCTCTTACAACCCCATCTATAAATATATTAAACAACCACGGTGACATAACACATCCTTGTCTAAGGCCTACTTTTACTGGGAAATAATTTCCCTCTTTCCTACATACTCTAACTTGAGCCTCACTATCCTCATAAAAACTCTTCACTGCTTTCAGTAACCTACCTCCTACACCATACACCTGCAACATCTGCCACATTGCCCCCTATCCACCCTGTCATACGCCTTTTCCAAATCCATAAATGCCACAAAGACCTCTTTAGCCTTATCTAAATACTCTTCACTTATATGTTTCACTGTAAACACCTGGTCCACACATCCCCTACCTTTCCTAAAGCCTCCTTGTTCATCTGCTATCCTATTCTCAGTCTTAATCTTAATTCTTTCAATAATAACTCTACCATACACTTTACAGGTATACTCAACAGACTTATCCCCCTATAATTTTTGCACTCTCTTTTGTCCCCTTTGCCTTTATACAAAGGAACTATGCATGCTCTCTGCCAATCCCTAGGTACCTTACCCTCTTCCATACATTTATTAAATAATTGCACCAACCACTCCAAAACTATATCCCCACCTGCTTTTAACATTTCTATCTTTATCCCATCAATCCCAGCTGCCTTACCCCCTTTCATTTTACCTACTGCCTCACGAACTTCCCCCCCACTCACAACTGGCTCTTCCTCACTCCTACAAGATGTTATTCCTCCTTGCCCTATACACGAAATCACAGCTTCCCTATCTTCATCGACATTTAACAATTCCTCAAAATATTCCCTCCATCTTCCCAATACCTCTAACTCTCCATTTAATAACTCTCCTCTCCTATTTTTAACCGACAAATCCATTTGTTCTCTAGGCTTCCTTAACTTGTTAATCTCACTCCAAAACTTTTTCTTATTTTCAACAAAATTTGTTGATAACATTTCACCCACTCTCTCATTTGCTCTCTTTTTACATTGCTTCACCACTCTCGAACCTCTCTCTTTTTCTCCATATACTCTTCCCTCCTTGCATCACTTCTACTTTGTAAAAACTTCTCATATGCTATCTTTTTCTCCCTTACTACTCTCTTTACATCATCATTCCACCAATCGCTCCTCTTCACCTCCCGCACCCACTTTCCTGTAACCACAAACTTCTTCTGAACACTCTAACACTACATTTTTAAACCTATCCCCATACCTCTTCGATCCCATTTTCCTATGCTCTCATTACCCATCTATCCCCAATAGCTGTTTATATCTTACCCTAACTGCCTCCTCTTTTAGTTTATAAACCTTCACCTCTCTCTTCC